TTCAAAAGCGTCACGGCTGACGATCGAACTCACTTTCGTGAACAGAAATGCACATTTTCAACCGTACATATTTCTCCGTAGTTTATTTGGCTCATTTTTAACAACGTCGTTAATCCTTTCGATCTTTTTCGTAAAGAAAAAATGTTATTAATATTAATAAGCATATATATTCTGTCTAAATCTTATCTTCTCTCCGTCGATTGAATGTTCAAAGTTTTATTTATTTTTTTTGTTTCACAGAATGTTTTATTCATTAGGAGTTAGTTTTTGATATTTTAACAAGTATTTTAATATCGACAGAGAGTTTTGCCGAATGCCACTGATGGAGAGTATCATTATCATAAAATTATTTTAGAATAATGGCATCCCATTTCATTTTGAAGCACGGCGCGTCAACGTCTCTCCAACGTAACACGGTTACAGCATCTCTTTGAAAGACGATTATGTGGCGTGACTCTCTTCACAACTACGTACACGTGTATTCTGCTATGTGCTTCAACGCCCGGCGTTGACGTTAGCGCGCACGTGCGCTACGCGCTGCAAGTCGAGAATTAGATCGAACGAGATAATTACGTTCGATATTTCGTAAGAGAATTACATAAACAGGCCCGCAAAAGCTTCCAGTTCGATGTTGAGGCAACGTGAAACGCAAGTTCTCCGAATAGTTATATAATAAAATCATTGAGAAAGAAAGAAATTTCTCTCTTTGTTGCCGTTTTAAAAATTATAAATTGTTATTTTAACCATTTAAAATACAATATTGCGTTCAAATTTGCAGTCGCTTGTAAAACTCTTACTCCTCGAATTTTTTACATTTCAGCCTAATTGCTATTAGTTCGCAATTCAAAATATTTGTCTACAGTAATGTAGTTAGAAAAATTTTATGCAAAGCCCAGATATCACTTCGTAAATATTCCTCGCAAAATTTTCCGCTTCATAAATTACGCAACTGTACCACGACCGCGGTGAAACAATTTGCTTATCATTTTAGTCACGAATTGCGAGCGAAGCAAGCTAAAGGTTTTCTCTGTTTTTTATCCACCCACGGTGACAGTCACATTAAATTTTTTTATTAATTCGCAAAGCAAAATGATACTCTTATACCGTAAATTCTAATCTTCTTAAGTCTTAAAATAAATTTAATCATAGCTCACACACACACAGATGCATTTCATCTGTCGTCTTATGAGATTATACTATTCAATTGTTTATTTCAGTTTCTCCAATACTTCGTTGCAAAAATATATTTTCGTAAGAGGTTGATTGTTTTGAATGACAAATGTTAAATCATTGTGAATGTTAAACAATTAAAATTAGTTTAATTTCAAAAATAAAGGAAAGGTAAAAAAGTCAGACGAAAAAAGAAAGATCTTGCATACGCAATTATTCTGGAGATATTAACAAATTAAGTGCTTGCATAAATTTCGCGAATTTATTCAGAATCTCAGAAAAGTTCTGTGTGCAAGGCCGAATTTCGCCGCTTGTGTGAAGTCGAGCAAAAAGCTTATTAGCGGCGCGCTCAGCAATATGAATAATTATAATTAACGTGTTCAACAAATTAACCCGTCGACGTTTAAATCCTCTAGTTCCGCAATTATTAATAAAGTATATGCACGTTATGTACCATAAATTTTATACTGCACTGAATAAACATGAGCTCACTTTTATACGTTCAAATAAGATATAGGGGAGACCGGGGCTATTCGTGACACATTTTTGTTTCGAATTTGTTTCTCGCTTCGTATAAATGTTTAAAAAATTTTTATTAGTGCGATGTAATCGTCCATCTCTCTAGTTTAAAAGAAAAAAAATATATAGGTTTTTCTCTTACAAGTCTCGAAATATATCAAGAAATGTATCGCTGTGTCATATGTCACGAATTGCCCCGAAGCCTGGGTAATTCGTGACAAACCACGGGATAATGCGTAACACTTTCTCTGATTGAACAAACTATATAGATTTCTTTTGTTTTTGCAATTTTTATCTACTTTATACTTTGAAAAAGCCTTTATTTGTCAGAATTTACATATTATATGTATAAAAAATTATGAGGAAAAATGTAACGCCTGTTCCATTAATTGCCTTCATTGCTCACATTCGATTACGGGAAACCACTTCTCGAAGGCGTCTGCGGCCCCTGCGAATTGGTTTTTCCTTTGAACGCTTATTCGTGGCGTTTTGGGTTGCCCCGATTGCTCGTGTCACGAAATGCCCCGGCGTGATTTTTTCTTATTCATGATCCGTGACTTATAGATAAGAAAGAATACCATAAAATCTGCTCATGCATTATGCTTAGTGAAGTCGAGTGACTGAATAGAACTTACCGTTTCGGATCTCTTATTATTTTATTCGGCGAGAAAACAAATTTTTGGGATTTGAAAAAATTTACTTTGAGCACTTGAAATCAAACTTTCTGTCACTGAAAGAGAAAAATGGTTGACACGCAAATGCCATTCCGTTGGTACCTAGAGGACACTAAGAAACATCTGTGATTGATATTACAGGTTTCTAGCAGCAAGCATTTTAAAGTTAAGCCCGCGACAAAATTTCAGCAGTGTTACGAATAGCCCCGGTCTGCTCTAAATAAATTATATCTTAACGGCAGAGATATAATTTCCTTGTCATTAGTAATAAAGAATTCACCATATCTACAAACTAAAAATTTTGGCTTTTTTTAATATATAAATGTATATAATAATAATATAATATGTGTCTAACAATTACTTTACGAATTCATTATTCAAGATCAATCAATCTGGTTTGGGAAAATAATTGTCTAGAATTATAATCGAATTACATTACTAATTAATTTACATTGTCCGTGAAAATATCATATTTTGCTGAAATTGTCGAGATTGAATAAAACCGCGAAGGTATCCTTTATCGATTTCTGTTCTTTTCATGTGTATCCTTCGACCTTCCGATATTGGACGAACTGCTAATTTCCAGTAAATGGAGCGCACGTTATTAGGCAGATAGAAAGCCGATTTATACACCCTTTCAAAAGTTTTCACAACGAAGATAAAAGCTATAAAACGGACATGATCTTTTCCGCGACGTATCTTCACTTTTAGTTCCGCGATAAGCTTCTTATCTCTAAAACGATTTAAAATATCATGGATTTCAGTGAGCCATGAATATAAAGTAATGTGACATATTATTTTAGATAAATTCCCCAAAATAGTGTTTATTCTTTGAAACTGAATGGCTCACACATGTAACATAATATTCATTACTGCAAAAATTGGCTAAATAGTGAGCAATCACGTTTTAGTTTTCACATTATTCGGAAATACATAATCACTTCGAGAAACAAACGGTTCGTCAATTCAGTATTTTCAGGTTATTCCATATAATATAATTCTTAGCACAGAAAGAAATGTATTCACGTATGTAAACTTATCGCGAATTTGTATCAAAAAGATATGCCGTTATATTTTCTGACGAAATTTGGTCAAAATGTCGATAGCTGACGTTTGACGTCGACTAACTAAGTAGTGCTCTAACCGAATATCGATATTTTTCGCGTCCCTTTCTATTATCCTTGGAATGCATGTTGTGTTATGTCAGTCTTTCCTGATAACCCGAGAAGTAGACCCTCGTCATCGGAAGCCATTCCGTTCATTCTTCTATAAGGGGAGGAAAGTAAGTGAGGAAATGTTGACAGGTCAGACTGACACGGGTCTCTAATAATCAGTATTTTTGTTAACAAAGCCATATAGTGAACCATATCTCCACATCATTAAGCAATTTTACATTGTGGAAATCTCCTCGTTACATTTTATGAAGGAAATTATAGAAACTATTATTGTTATTTTTGTCACCATTACCGTTATGGCTTTTTCTAAAACAATAACTTCTTATAAGTCACATCTGCTATTACTATAATTATTTTATTATTATCTACTGTCATTTATTTAGTACATTTTTTTAAGAATAATTTTTAAACTTGTTTCAGAATTTTCTACTTTTGTCGTGTAATCTAAATTCCTTTATTGTATATCTTACGATTTTCTCTTCAGGTGAAGCAAGGACTTTGTTTGTTTGATTTCTTGAGTACTGGGCGATGTACTTTTGCGTCAAAGAGAATACTGAACTTAAAAGCAACATTAATTCCGCGCGAAGCTGCATACACCTCAGTTGAGATGTTATTTCTACAAAAAAAAAATGCAGGCGGCCACACAGATATTTCTTTTCCCGCGTAATTTTCATTTCGCTAAGGAACGTAAAGTTTCCTTGAATAAGACGGATTTTTTGTCGCATTTCAAGTTAAGTATATCGAAATAAATAAAAATATTACATAGAAAAAATACAAAACGACTACCGATTGTGATACGTAATCAAGATTTAAACAGAAGATTTTTCTCAATTTAAACAAAATATAATTTTCTATTATATTTTTGTCTATTACTTAAAGGAAATGAAATAATTCTAACATTTCATGCGCGTGCACAACCCGTTTATTCTTTCATGAATAGCATCGTCGAAAGATCACTTATAATCGATGAAAAACTTGATTTTCAATAACATCTTCAACGAAGTGGTTAATCTTGGTTATGGCTTTCACGAGAGTCGATTATCACGATATCAAACAATTCTCGGATATCGGTCCCTCATACCTACATGATGTGGATATTACGTTTGACTGACCACAATCGCGGAGATTGGATTAATTGTCCTTTGCGAAGGCTCGCTGTCTCGATTGTGGTTTACCCTATCCTCTACGTATCCTATAGACGCTTCTCGTAGCTTCTCGTAGCTTCTCGTCTGATCGAACAATATTGATGTAGCCCGCGACGCGGATTAAATTGAAGAATTCCTTCTCATTGTTTGCGACTGATATCCGGCTATTGGTATCCGATTGCGCGACACGGCCAATTTAATATCTTATTATTCCGCCCTGGTCCCGAGTACTTTTTGTGATCCATTTTCCTCCTTCGCTTTGTATATCGAAGTTAAATATAAAATTAGGTAAGAATTATATTTTTTCTGTGTTTCAGAGACTATGAGAGCAGCAATATCCTGGACAATTTACTATCCCGTATGGAGCAGTATGCCACGAATTTAGAAACCCTGGTGGAGGAACGCACGGCCGACTATCTCGAGGAGAAACGTAAATGCGAAGAACTTCTCTACCAGTTACTACCAAAGTAAGTTTTCACGGTACGCGAATAAAACAGACTTTTCTTAGAAAGAACGAAATTGCCATTACATTTGCCGCGAGCTGCTGCAGAGAATTCGTCCGAAGTATCTTTCGCCTTTCGCAAAGGGCTATAAATATTTAAATACTTGAGTTACTTAGACGCGGATAAATCTGGACAGATATACAATTCATAACTCGAAGTAACATGAAATTTGAAATACATATATATTCTGTTTTATATATATTACAGTATAGGTTTATAATATGTTTAAGTTTTTTCAGAAGTTTTCACTATAATTATTAATGATTTTGTGATACTGTTTGTTTAAAGGAATGCTTTTGAATGAGTTTTTATTCATTTTAATAATTAAATCGCATACAAAATTTGAATTTGCCTCACTGCAGCTCTAATTAACTTTTTGTTTGCTTTCGTGCCAGTACCATTTTCCCATCTGACTTGTTATCGAAATCATTAATATAGCCTTTATTGTTAATTTAACCGAATATAAATTAGTCGAGCATGTATAAATGTACGCGAGAATTCTTCCTGCCGAATGTATAAACATTAATCTGTAATTAATGCAAATGCAAGTACTAATGATCAAGATATATCAAATAGCTTTTATATCAAAGTGCAAAAATTCACCATGACGTAAATTAACGGTTGGAAGAATCATCTTGTACGACAGACGGTGTGAAATTGAACGGTGTGACACAAAAATAGAAAATCAGTCGAATCGAATGATTTGTTCACGCAACAAACCGGAAGATTAGATATCGAAAGTTGGTCAACCTTAAAGTTAAAATTGATCTGAAAAAAGTGAAAACTGTCAACGCATACAGCAACGAAACGATAAGAAATTGGAACGGAACAAGAGCGCCATTGGAAAGCATAATTTGTAGAATTACAATCTAATTATCTAACAGAAACTGAGTTGTCTTAATTCAAGATCGCATATGACAACTAGAGCAATGCAAAACGTAAGAAGTTTCAAAATGATTTGTAGACCTGAGCAAATTCATCACATGTAGCTCATTGATGTAATTTCCAAAATTTTCCACGTTTACTTGAAAATATTACATATGCTCGTGACAGAATCAATTGAAAATGGTTTTGATATCATCGAAACCATTACACTTGAATAAGATCTCGGTAAAAAAAAAAAGAAGATTGTATACATAGAGAGTGTATATTGTATACCAAAAATGCTCATTTGAACGAAACTACTTCATTACAGCGTGCGCGGTTAACATATCTCGTGTAACTTCGAGCAAGCAAGTAAGTAAGGCGAACCTTAATGAACTTTACGAAGATAAAAGGGAGCGCGAGATACGAGGGAAATTTGTTGAGAGCTTTGAAAACTTTATCACGGTTCGTCCCTCGCGAGTGATAACTCTTTTGTCGAGCGTCAGTGATGTAGTTAGTGCGCTATCGCGTCACGTTTAATCGATATCATATCTCGATACGTGACGATGATGTTAAATTCGTATCCGACACATATGATCTTTGCAAAATAATTACCATTTCTATGCGCGATAAAACAATACTTTATTATTGACCCCTGCAATGATGTTTACTTCCGTACATAATTTTACGTGAAAATTTAATTTTTTTAAGCGCAACATTTCGTTATATTTGTACATACAAGAGTACATATAAAACTTTTTTTTAGCTGTTTCTTTTCACTATGCTTCACTGCTATTTAGAGATTAAACGATGAGATAATCGCGCATAGTTTTTAACTTCTAGAAATTCAATTTTAAAATTTGCCGAATATTTTCTGATAAAAAAGTTGAAAATAATTTTGTTCAAAAAAAGTTCGCCAAGGAAAATATTGCCTCCATATTTTTCCTTTAATGAAAAGGTTACATAAGTTCATCAAAGAAGTAAACGTCGAAAATTCATGAGCATACAAATTTCCTGTACATGTAGAAATTTTGTTAAATTTTGCTACATTGCGTTCCTCTTGAAATCGTCTATTTCATTTTTAATTAAGAAATGTAAATAAAAAATAAAGTAGAGTCTCTGCTCCATCTATATTAAAACACGTATATGGAACACATCTTATATCCTTCATTACTTGTAAATTAAGTTGTATCTTACTTTTTATTCATTCACAAATATTTATTGCGCTAAAACGTATGAATGAATAAATGTAAATGACTGTAATGTATATCGAGCTCGGCACTGTGGATTCGCTAAGCTCAAATAATTGTGTGAATCGTCTCTGCCAGACTAGTATTCCCTGAACTTTTTTCCGCTATCTATAAAAGACACGTGTTTGTTTGTTCCTGCGAGCAGATCAGTGGCGTCGCAATTGATTCTCGGGCAAAGCGTAATCGCCGAGACGTACGACCAAGTGACAATTTACTTCAGCGACATCGTGGGCTTCACGAGTCTGTCCGCCGAGAGCACGCCTCTGCAGGTGGTCGATCTGCTGAACGACCTTTACACGTGTTTCGACTCCATTATCGAGAACTTCGACGTTTACAAGGTAAGCATCGACCTGTTTTAAGTGCATCTCGGGGACGTAATATGAAGATGATTTAAAGCCTCGACTGAAAGGGGTGAATATTTTAACGAGAGAGACAGTCACGATGTTGGCTCACGAAATAGCGATATACTTTCGCTCGCAATCCGCGTCCGATGGCGTCACACTCGCAATATCCAAGCAGTTTTCTTCTTCCGGCGCAGTTTTATCGAAGCTGGACGAGCAAAGCGTTCATCATTTCGACAAGTTTTTCTGTTTGCGAGAACCTGACTTTTTCTATTAAGAAACTTCGCCTTCATCACTCTCTCTGCCTGTCTCTTCCTCACATTTTTCCAAAAGTTCCGCCTTCGGGTTAAACGATCATTCGAGATAACATATTGCACAGCTAACACAATTGAATCAAGCTCGAGTGAATCCCCTCGATTTTATATTTACAAAATGTTCCACGTGCCGTTATTTGGAGCCTATCGCGAATTGTTCGACCCGTTAAGGCCAACGTGAGAAAGAAACGACAACAAGAAGAGGATGAGAGAAACATAGCAATTCCGGAGAACAAATCGCCCTTGATTTCTTAGAAGAGCGATTTTCCGGGAAAATAACACGATTACCGCGCGTGGACTTATATAAAAGTGGTGTATATATATGTGTGTGTGTATATATATAAGCGTTGGATGTGACACGAATTGTCACACGCGTGAGACAAATTCGCGATAATACAATCATCTTGCCGAACCGAAAGGGACACTTTTACTAGATTATTTAATTAATATAATAGGAATAAAAATTGTATTAAGCGAGCTCGAAACCGCACGGAATGTTCAACCGATAAAACGCCAGTATTTTAGTTTCAGAAGTCTTTATAATTTTATAGTCTAAAAAGCACCGCTCGGTGCAGCCTATATATATATATATATATATATATATATATATACATAGGCATAGATTATTCTGACTATATATATCTATCCCCCGCAACAGATGCTGAACTCCATTACTTTACTCTAATTACAGATTAAACTTTCCCTTTCTCCCTCGAACGTTCTCTTCTCTCTCTCTCTCTCTCTCTCTCTCTCACACACACACACACACACACACACACACACACACACACACACACACACACACACACACTCTCTCTCTCTCTCTCTCTCTCTCTCTCTTTCTCGCTATTCGCTTTTAAGGATATTGAATATCAATATTAAATATAATCCTCCGCTTACTATTCATACTCTCTCATATGTTTCAAAGCAATCGCTACCGCGATTTATTTAAATGAGTTTATATGAGTTTATCAGTTCATTGAAAAATAAACCTCGTTGGAAACTATAATTAATTTTCCATTAATATCTTATCGAGCAATTATCGGAGCTTTTCAAATTAGCACTCCGGGAAATAAAATGGTTTTTTCTCGTTCGTCACATCCGCAGCTTTATTATCGTGTTTCGTGATACTTCTATACATTAAATATATTTTACTTTTAATCCGTTTACTTTACTCCGGTGTTACGAACTTTTTAAGATCCTAGTGTCCTTGTTAAATATAATGGCGTTATTTCCGCAAACTTTCTTTTTTGCCTGACACCTTTCTCTCGCAATTATTCTATTTAACTCAAACAGAAGATGTAATATAATATAACGGATAGAAATAAATAAATTTAACATGACAATTTTTTACACGAAAAATTAACGTAAAAATGGTCTTGTACTTTTTAAATGAATGCAAAAGATATGTAAAAGAAATAAATTTTACATCACGAGTATGTTTTTATACCGTCTTTTACGATATTTACTTTTTATCAACAATGCATTCAGCAGAATTTCTCTCAATTCTTTCAGGTGGAAACGATAGGGGATGCTTACATGGTCGTCTCGGGATTACCAGAGAGAAATGGCATGAATCACGCTAGAGAAATTGCGAGGATGAGTTTAGCCCTCAGGGATACGGTATTGACATTCAGTATTCGCCATAGACCACACGAGCAATTAAAACTTCGTATTGGCATGCATTCTGGTGAGTCAACACTATATATTGTGCTTTTTTCCCGCTCGCGTAAAACGAAATAAGATTAGTCCCAACTTGATTCCGGGCTTAATGCCAGGATCGTATTGCGTATGGCCTACAATGTGTCTCAGAATTTCCAATTTCAAGTTCCATACATTGTGTCATTTTTTTATTGCAACCTATTATTACGTATGTCACTTGTACTTCGCTAAAGAAAAATTTTTTATATTTTGCTTTGTGAACTTTTCAACGTCCGATTAAAGAGAATAGCGCGTTCAACGCGTTAAAAAATGACGTTATAAATCGGGTTTACCTTTCGTGTTACAAATCGATTGCATACCTATAGCAAAAGGTCGAATGCGCAAACAACTCAATTGATATCGCGAATAACACGAATTAAATAAAAAATGCGGCACAATATTTCAAAATAATTCCTAGTGGGAATTTTTCCTCGAGTTTACTTTCACAGAATATGTCGTCCATTCGAAACGATATTCGATGCGAGCGGAACCAATTTTGAAATGGTAGTGTTGGAAAATCAGCAGCCGTTTGCCGTTACGAGAGAATGAATGATTGTATTTCTCGATTGAAGTCGTTATCGTTTTCGGTTCTGATTCAATTAAGTTTTAAATTCATGACAGGACGGTCTTTAGGCTATTACGTGACGAGAATCTCCATTTCCCGGACACTAACTCGTCCCATTTCTATCTCACTAAAAATTTTCTCGGTGACAAGTGTCACGTGTATCTCCGAAGTGACATCGTTCAAGAGATCGCATAGAACTTGGATTACACCAGTTCCGCGAGAAAGAAATGGCTCAGCGTGATATATACGTCGAGCGGTTAGCTATAATTAGTTAAGTTAATTACTTTTTAAATGGACTCGGAATACAACGTTGCTTTTGCACCGCTTGACAAGAATGATTAACAAATTCGCGAAAATAATTGCTTGTCAAATTTTTTTTATAATCATTAAAAGTGGATAATTAACCCTTTAAATATCAAAAAGACTAAAAACGACGTTGAAAAAAAAAGAGAAAATGTTTTTATGAAATTTTTTAAATGATATAAAACATTTCAATGACATCTAAAAAGTATCTCTTTTATATAGAGAAAATCTTCTTGAAAAATAGAAGAGAGTATGAAAAATTAGGTTCTGTTAAAAATAAAAAAGAATTGTTTCAGACATTTTTACAATTATTAAGTCATTTATTTCTATTATCTTTCTCAGAAAGAAACGGTGATAAAAAAAATCATCGGCGTATATAGTGCTGGACCATTTGCTTGCAGGACCATGCGTGGCCGGCGTGGTAGGTCTCAAGATGCCTAGATACTGCCTGTTCGGCGATACGGTCAACACAGCATCCAGGATGGAGAGTAACGGAGAAGGTAATTAACAGCTCAGTCATTCTCGGGGAAAGAAACGTTTTACGTTGGGGATGTAACAGAGAAAATATGGAGGTAGAAAGTTAGACACGAGCGGCAATTAAAGGGGCCGGAGTAAAGGTATGGCGACGAGAGCAAGGTCGCCGCTTAAGAGAAAATCGACCCTGCTTCAAGTGTCTCCATAGAGACCGTTATGGTTAACTCGTTTTCAACCAAGCGTAATCATAACTATTGATTACCCTTAATCATACCGTGTTAATTTTTCCGGCAACGATTTTCCGCGATCATTAACAACGTGATGCGTGTTTACGGGTTATTAACTTATTATTTGATATCAAACATCACGGAATGACTACACAGCGCTAGAAGGATCGATTTTGAATTCAATTATTCATAATTCCCAGGAGTTTCATTAACTTGTCAACAGGTCTAACGAGACCTCGACATATGAAAATCATTTCATTTTTAATATCTCCTTTATAACTACCGAGTATACCGCGATCATTTTCGAGAGTTTTTTTTTACTGATGGCTGACAACGATCTCGATCGCAGCTTGACGGAACGACACGTAACGACGAATTGATTGCGCGCTGGATCTCGTTTACTGTGACACGCTTACGAGGCACGCACGAGTATGCGGTGTATCGCTTAATGTTGCGTGGGTGGTTTTTCCCTCGCAAGGACTTAGGTGCCGGGCGTCGCTCGCGCGAGGCAAGGACGCACCGCAAGGCGCCACGCGGCTGTTTATCGAGTTTCTTCGTAGCTCGTTTTGTGCGTCGCGCGAAAATTATATCACGCACGTTAAAGTTTCCGGGTGATAGATTACGCTGAAAGGGGTTTTACACGAATTTTCTTTTCTCTTCTTGTTCTTTTAACACGTCGATATGTTGGATACGAGAACGTTTGAGAGCGAAATTGTGATACCTTAACGACTACTCGCGAATTGTATTATCGTAACGAGCTGTTAAATTACAATTACAAACATCTCGGAAACTCAGATTTTTATTTTGATGCTATCGATCGATCAATTTTATCGTAATCGAAATATTAAGAGGCTTTCAAGGTATAAAAAAAACTTTCAAGGTATAAAAGAATGAAGAGAAAAGATAAAGCTTTTTAAAGACTGTGGTTTTGGAAAGCAATTAAATAATGCTTTACTCGTAATCCTATTGTTAACCTCACTCTAGGGAGAAAATAAAGAGCTTTCTAAAGATTAACATTTCGAAAAGCAATTCTAAATAATATTTAATTTTTAATTTATTTTAATCTCTCTCTCTCTCTTTCAATTTTAATTTAAAAAATTTTAACATTTTAGATTTTTAATAATGTGTTTAAATATTAAGATATTTAACATATTGAATGTTTAAAAATTGCAACGAATAACCACTGGACCATATTATTTTCACGCACAAATTTCAGTTTAAATAAAAATTTAAAAGCAAGATCGTAAAATGGTTTTCACTGCATTTTGTATGTACACCGAGAGTTGACGTATAAAACTGCAAATGTCACGTTTATAGAAAGTTATTTTCGAAACATCTTTATGACTCGTGTTTATAATCGTTATTTGAATCTTATATTAAAAGCGTATCAGATGAAATATTAAGCGAATCAAATGAGGATAAAGTTTCACATTTTAAGATCGCACAGTTTAATGATTTCACTTTAATTAGAGATTCACTGGCATTATTTAACTGAGAAACGAAAAATTTGACACAATATTTATATAAAGCCTGACATTTATATAAAGCCCTTTAATCCGTAATAAATTATTTTTAATCGTTAATTCTTTATAACTACAATCACGTACCAAATCTATATCTACATTTTTATTTCAAAATAATACCGTGCACTTTCATATTATATTGTTATAAAAATAGAAGAATGTAGAAATTGTCAATGAGAAGGAATGACGTCAGACCCGAAAAGAATAATGGGCCATCGGCGCCGATCACTTCTATCAATATGAATTTTTTATGTCTTCGGTATAAGTATGTCTTAGTAAATTTTTATGTTGATATAAGTATCTCATCAACCACGCTGTTAAAATTTTATTTTTAATACGATACATTATTTATAACATACTATTCCCAATATCAAATATTTTAATACAACTGAGAGATATAATTAGTCAATTTTAAAATAATTTATATATAAAGATTTTCGCAATAAAATATTTATCAAATATAATTTTACTTTGATTCAAATATTTCAAGTTTACATATCAATCAATGAAATAGATAGGCCATGAAAAATTGAAATAATATTGGCGCGTTATATGAAACAATTAATAATTATTTGCGCTCTTTAACAAATTAGTTAAAAAATATAACCATAAAATATCTCATTTTTTCCTTATGCTTAGACGTATACGTTTTGAAAAGAATCTCTGCTGCTGTATTACTTTATTGCACAATTTGTGTATTTAATCCTGAAAAGAGGCTATAAACGCAAGCCTCAAATTTTATCTTAAAAAATATTTAAGAGGAAAAGGGGAAAAGGAGGAGAAATTAATTTTATATATTTCCCTACTGAATTTTGCAGAAATTAATTTATATAAAAAATATGTGCAATAAAAATAATCTTGTTCGTCTAATCTTTATTGTCGTAAAATATAAATACCATAAAGGAAACAAAATTAAATAAAAACTTTATATTTTCAAAAATGTCAGCTTTTTCTTTGTTACAGTTTTATCTAACTTTTTTCCTCTTCCTTATTTTAACTCTACTTGTTTATAAGCAATACACTTGAAAAATTATTTTCTTTTAAAACGTACTTTATACTAAAATTAAAATATGATATCCTCATTATGTTCTCCATTGTGTCTTTTAAAAATCTTGCCTGCGTATGGATTACTTGGCAAAAAGTATATAAAAGAGATAATGATATCTTTATTAAAGCCAGAAACAATTTTTCCCTTACCCTGTTACTCTGTTCACTACTCTTTATCAAGGACTCTAACAGTGAAACGTCCCTTCATCTGTATGAAAGCGAAATTAAATTTCTCATAAATTTCAAGTAATTTAAATCATGCATGCAATTAATATTCCATAGTATAATAGAGTACCAAAATGTGTTAATAAGATCAAAATGATCAATAATACACCGTTAATAGTGTAGTGCTCTATTTTACGAGCTTTGCATATCCAGCCTTGCAAATGTAATAGATTGATACGGTTATATATATTTCAGGATTAAATACCAAATAGATGTGTTAATCTATCAAAACCCATTCATTTCAAGGCAATGTATCCACATATGAGAAAGATATTATATTATCTAAAATATTTGCAATTCTATTTCCTCGCCATAAAATAAACGATAATTTAACACTCACCGATACGATGCGCAGCAGCGGAGTTGTAACTCTACGTTGATCTGCAAAAAAAAACAAATAAATCCAAATTATAACAACGCACGAAATAACCAATATTTCAAAAAATAATTCTTGCGCGTATTAAACTTTTTATTCGTTTTTCTAGAAAATATTTATTGAATATATATAATAAAATTGAACAAATATAATTTCTAAAAAACATTTTTTTTGTATCTATTAACTTTCGTAAAATTTCATACTATAACAAAGTTTTGTTCTTTATTTCTTACACAAATCACTCAGATATAAACGATTTAAATATTTAATTAACAACCGATTAACTGTGTGCAAGTAATAGGTATAGAAATATTTATGTATAGGTAACAAATTACTTACTCCTTGGTTGCTCCGCCGATGCCGGATGCCACTCAGGCCTCCTCCTCCTCTCCTCCTGCTCCTGCTCCTTCCCCGTCGTTCCCTCGTGGCACTCACACGCGTTCACTCGCGGAAGCACGATTAATTACCCGCGGAACTAATTTTCAAAATACGGCGATCGCGCGACACTTGGCGTGGCACTCCCGACAGTTCCGACGTTAGTCGCACGCGACGCGACGCGACGCATACTTCGCGACAATCGCCGACCGTTGTCAACTTCTACATTCTACACATTCTACGGCAACGTCACATTCGTTTATACTTCGACGTGTACTTGCACGTATCTTTCGCGCTTTGAATAACAAATTGTACACGTTCTCGATTCATTCAAGCACTTCAAATTTCGCGAGATACGCGTATCATTTATATGAGCGAGAGATATATCGCGGCTTTCCATTATCCGAATTACGCCCCACACACCACGATCGTACATACACACACACACACACGCTCGTGCATTATTCTTACACCCTCGAATCGAAAACAATTACAATCGGAATCGATGAAATAATCATTACCCTCTCTCCCTCCCTCCCTCCCTCCCTTTCTCCGCGAACATCGCGGACGAAACGAATTTACTCTTCCATCTCGAATGATATGATTGAACAAGCGCTTTGATAATAGCTACCGCCTCGATACGTTCACGAGACTTTAATCGCGATCATTGATTAATTGCGCACGCTGAAACCTGTTACCTGGTCCCTGGTCCGTGGGAGGAATTGAGGAAATGCTCGCGCTTTCTCCCCGGTACCTGCCGCCTGCCGCGTTCGTTTAATTTGGTCGCGGGCCGCGAGCGTCGCGGCATCTCGGCGATGAGTGGTGGGGAGTGGGGGTAGGCTGACGAAGCAGCCTAGGCACCCCCGCATAACAAATATATGACGTCAGAAGCACAGAGCGACCCGCGACCCGCGACCGCGGCGTTGCCTGCGACGCGGCACGCGCGACGGTTACGATTCGAATATCGCCGAGCGGATGATAACACGCGGCGATCTCGCGTAAACGCAATGCCGAGCGTTATTTAGTTTAGATCTTCTCTATTCTTTGTAATCTTTATATTTCATAATTAATTTTATTGAGATTATTATCGCATTTGTTCTTTATCTTTCTCTCGTGGATAACGTCGCTTATTGTTAGATTAATTCCATTGTGGATTGAGAGCTTTATATAAAATATAAATACAAATATATTATTATTTGAATTTATATTGTTGTTTATATTTATATTTGTTTATATTTATATTTGTTATTTATATTTCAATTCGATTGTACATATATCGTAATTTGATTAACGTAAATATGGCGGCAGTGTGGTCTAGTAATAGAGCGCCAGACTCGTAATCTGAGGAATCAGGTTTGAGTTCACTAGAGTCATGGAAAGTTTTTTCCGAAAGCTGCGCCCTCCGTGCAAGATTAGGGCCCTTGTGCGGAGCAAACTGGGCTCCGTCTTTCGGACAGAGACGTTAAGCCGTTGGCCGTTGGTCCAAAGGGTTAAGTGACACGTTGGCCTCATCGTGTCAATTTCTTTTTTATGTGTCTTACACAAAGCCTTCGTGCCACCTTGATGAACAACTATATTTCTTCTTCTTCTTCTTCTTCTTCAATGCATATTGTGTTGAAATTGTTGAAAACGCCTGCCATCCTGGCGGAAAAATTTCTATGAATAACTACAAAAGACTAGAAATTTATTTTTGTTTTGATTAACGTAAATATATGCATAAATAATATACTACTAATAATAAATTATAACTGTGACACATAAGCTATTCAATCCTTTTTTATAATAAAAGATTGAATAATTGATTAATTATTCTATTTAAAGAGAATTATTAAATTAAATGTTTATTTGAAAAATAAGATTTAATTTTATTTCAATCGAAAAATATAAAAAAATTAAAACATTTATTTAATTAAGAGCATTTTTTTCTGTAGCTTCTCTAATTAAACGAAACGCCAATCGGATTCCCGCAAGATTTAGATTCTCAACGCTTGCAGCATTTTATGCATGCGTCAAATCTTCGGCTTTAATCAGATTTTAGCGGACGTTAAATTGATTGATTATATATAGACCAACACATCTATTATTCAGGAGTAATATATCGCCGCAGAATATCGTTGAATACGCATACTCAATTAACGTCCCTCTCATTAACGCGATAGAGAATATTTAGTATACAAAATAATAAACACATTGTATAACGTAATTAATTGTTTACGATGATATTGTGTAACTGATTTAAAATGAAAAACTAGCTCGCTATTGATCCTCACGTATAGCTTTGCTCGTACTCTCTTTTCCCGTAGAAAATGCAATCAAGTTGCCGCGCCGTAGAAATAGGGTAGATCATACGAAAATTGCGCATATTGGATTAGCATATTTGCGATCGTTCCAGAGCGGCCGGCGCGACGGCCGCCGTGTTGTAATCGAACTTGCACATCCAGTCGACGACGACGGAAGTTCCGATCGGTGCGGTAACTTTATTATCGGTTTAAATTTCATTAAAAGTTCTCCCGTACTATACCGATACCGGTTCGAGAAGATGTGATACCGCCGATTTGTTCATGTTTAGTTTAGATCACGTAAATTCTCTCGGAGCCGTAAGTCGATTTTGTTCCCCACGTTTCTCATTACATCTTATTTCAACGGCATTTCATAATTTTCAAGCGTTTGAACAAGTTTTATCATCTTTCTTACACGTGTTTCTTGTTTTGTTACAATTGAAACAGTTATTCGAAAAATTACACAAGTCATTTAATCTAAACTTCTGAGAAAGAATGAACAGTTTGTTTTCAAGCAACTTACTGTCTTCCTTCAGCTGTCATATTAAATCACTTTTTAGTACACTTATTACGTATTTGTATAAAAATTTATACAAAACTTTTTTTTTAAACGTTTCAACCTTTTATCTTTAAACTATATAATTATTAGAGATAATAAATTATAAATAAATACGACAAGTTTAGCTTCTATATTTTTCTAAATAACTCACGAATATACTTCGTGTCTTCCGACGAATGTCGAAAAGGAAATTGACAATGTCGAGCTACTTCAAGGTCTCCAATCCATCTCATCCGACATAAAAAGGGTCGCGGGCGGTTCACCGAACAACTTGCGAATTTCATCGAGTCCATGTCAAACGTCCGCAGCTAACTCCGGTGACACTAAGAAATTAATTGGTAGTCAAGATACGGAGTTTACGTGTCAAAGGGCTTTAAATTCTCCGGTCCTTCTTACGCGTCGCCTTGACGCTGCTCGTCGAACCATTAAAACAAATCGAGCACTTTTGTAAAGGTCACGTCAGTTTGTGAAAATAATGGGAGCCATAAGACAACAGCTCATTTTCACAAAGTGACGTTTCGCGATTTTCGTTGCATAATTATCAACGCGGTTTTTCCGAGCGAATAATTCATTCAGCTTCTCTCGCGTAACGAAATAAAAAATATTTCTATCTATCGAACGAATCGTTTATCGCGCGTTGTAAAGTTGTATTTTTGTTAGTTGAAAGTTTGATAAATGTTATTTTTAGTAGATAGGTAAAATAAATATGTTGTTTCGTCCACGTGCAAGTACGTGCTAAAATCTGATTTGCGTTCAAATAGAAAATAGCAACGAATAGCAATAAAAGCAAGAATTAAAAAGAAACTTTATATTGATAATTATTTTTTAAAATTTTTATCCTCGGAAAGATTTTTCTTCTCAATTTTTTACAACTCGATCATCAATCTTCCTCAATTAACATTTTGAATATAAAGAAAAACGATCCTTTAAAATATCTGGCATTAGATAGTTATATATATTTTTTAATGCCCTGTAGGTGTAATTTAATGGCATGGAAAATAACAAGGGAGCAATTGCGCGAATAACAAAGGTACATAGAATTCGCGGATACATCAAGGTACATCGCGGCACATACACAACGTGTTAAAACCACATTTAATCCATATAGTGCACCACCACCGGAAGCGATTGGTTCAAAGCGAGCTTATTCGTATGAAGTGCACTTACTTTGAAACGCTCTTCTGCGTGAATTTCAATCTAACAATTTTTAAAAAATTTTGTTGTTATGTCCGCCGGACGTTAAATGTTACATTTCAATATTTGAAGCGGTTTACGGAAAAGGGCGTTCTCACGCCGCGTTCTCACGCCGCGTTCTCTCGCCGGAATTGATTTTATGGGATCGAAATAACATCAGGTCCAATATTATCTTTAGAGTATGAAATATCTAAAAATAAAATATATTCAACTGAAAATAATACATGTAGTACATTTGAAACGATTGATTCGACTAATTTTTAAGGACAGTCACGCGCGAGATATCATTTTACATTTTCTAAGCACTTTGCGTGGGATAAACGTCGTTCAAAGACGTTCACATCTGTCTTGATAATTATGTAAAAGTTAATGCATGACACAAAGGTAACGTTTTTAGCGAGGCAGTCGTTGTCTCACAGCATTCTTTAACCGGTCATTTTGCGTATAATAACTAATATTAAAGGAGCGCCGTTCCAAATTAGTGCTACGGGAAGATTATAGGACGTACGTAAAAGAATTTGTTTTTCTTTTTCTACGACAGCTTTGAAGATCCATGTCAGCCCGAAGACGAAGGAAATCCTGGATACCTTTGGTACATTCGAACTCGTCTGCAGAGGAGAAGTCGTATTAAAGGTAAGACCCTTGATATGCGGTTTTTCCTCAATTTCGCGGTGATCGAGACGCACTCCTGTCTACCTTCCCTTGCCTTTTATCTCGCGAACTCAACTGTCTTTTTTCGAAGAACGAAAAGAAAGAACCCTCGTAAGTCGTATCGAATGAGACTGTCAAGTGATCTCTTACGTGACGGAGATATTAGAGAATGATCGACATATAATGCGAAAATCATTTTGCCCCCATGTATTCTTGTATTACAGTCTTTTGCGAGTCAATCCTCATTCGCAATTTAACAAAGAATTCTGATATAAGTAAAACGTTCCATTGCAACGACAAAGTGACTCGAAGTTATTTGTCTGCTGGTTATTTAAAATATTTCTTTAATTTATCGTTAAATGTATTTAGTATAAATTTATCTCGCGTTATATTAACGTCGCAACTTTCGCTGGCAATACGTCAGGGGATAAGATCTTTCTTTCCAATTTAATTCTGACGTTATCGGTACCAATTTCACTTCGACGTGCAACGCGTAAGCAACGGTCTTTCGACAAGGGATACACTCGGCTTTCCTAACTTCGACGAATCGCATTTGCAACTTCGGAGAGCCATGAGTCGCAAATTGCAGTCGTGTCCGGCGGTTAGGTTCCATATGCGCATTTCGCTCGTTACATATTCAGGGGTGCTCTACCATAACCGAGTGCGTTATGCTCTCTCACGTGATATACATCCATCGCATCATGCATTGCTTCTGCCGCCCGTTGTCCGCAGGTGCGATCTGTTTCCGTTTTCCCGGAAGAGAGCAATTCCCGCTGGTCAGTCAATTTTGGGTGTCGCTGAAATTACAGATAGTTCGTCCCGTGCGTCACCGTCGCTCGCGTGACAAAGAAGACGCGACAGATAACGCGACAGGGACGCATCGTAATCCCGGAACCACAACAGTATCGCGGGGATCGTCAATATCCCCCACGTGAACGTATAACAACCGACTTCTATTACAGATCTGCGATTATTTGCGACCCGATCGGTTTTCATTACCCGCGAACGCACGATCGTAAACGTCGAATCGTCGGTCGATTAAGTACATCTGCTCGAATGATGGACGAAGGCGTCCGCGAAGTGATTGGAACGTTTACCGTACAATTCGGGTCAAAGTTCAGCGGTCGCGAGCGAGCCTAGCTCGAGCGGGCGCGCGCGCACTCGCGAAACTCGGCGGGCGGTATGCTGCAGTTAATTAGTAAGATAACGCCGGTGAAACACGCTTGGCAATTCGCGCGTATATGTAGTACCGGGGCTACCGACCGGGATTAAAATTCAGGTGTTTCGTATATATATGGCTGGGCCATTGTAATGCATGCCGCCGCTTATTTGAATATTCCGCGAGTGTGCCTGAGTTAAACGCATTCGCTGATCATTATCGTGTAACAAAGCGATACAATAGTTTCACCTTTGTTATTGAATTCCACTGCAGAACGACCTTAATTAAATCTCTGGAACTGCGCGCTTGTTGTGATTCTTAATCCCCATCCATCGTGGCTAACTACGAACAAGATAATTTCGTTGCCATAGCTAATTGTTTTTCATCTCTATGAATAAATTATCGCGTATTTTGTTTGTAACAGATACTTGAGAGCTATTGTACATTAACGAGTTATTTTTTAACTATTAACTACGCGCAATGAATAATCTAGGAATATATATTAGAAAAATATATTTTTTGCGGAATAATTTTATAAAATACTTATGCAGATTTTATCACACGCCGTAGTGAAAAATATCAAATCGTTTTAACTTGAAATAATCTCTCGTTTTCGCTAATATTCACAGGGTAAAGGTCCGATGACAACTTATTGGTTGATGGGCGAGAAACCAACGAACAACAACATTCAACAGGCAAATCCCACGACGACAATCGGCCAAGTATCGATTCCTATAGATCAATCTCCCGTCACCACGCAAATTCAGATGACGCAACCAAAGCAACAGGAGCAACGGGCGCTCTCCTGCGTCAGCCAGCAGCAGCACAAGTTTCAGGGTCAGTCGGACCAGCCGTATCCGACCCAGCAATCGATTCAGTCGAGGAGTCAGGAGCCAGCGCGGCAGCAGGGACATCCGGGTCAACAGAGACCGCAGGAATCGCAGCACCAAGGTTTAATGACCGCTCAATCGCGGTGCCAAACGGTCCCGACCAATCCATCGTCGACCACGAACCAGATTCAGGGTCAGAGATCCACGACAATTAATCCCGCCTGCGGTCTCGCCGGCGTGACTGGAAACGGCACGCCGAAATCGGTGGTCGCGTCACGTACCATCGTCGCGACGCCGATCGGCAACTCCTCGCCGTCCCGCAACCGCGCGAGCGGACCGCCGAGTGCGAACAACTCCGTGCACCAGGTATACCCGACAGCCGAGAGTATGCCCAATCATACCGAGAGTGGTCCCAATGCGCCGCTTCTGCTACCCGCCGGCGCGGTCCCCAGAGTCTAGCTCTTCTAAGGTGTCCTCCCGGTGACGTCCGCCTTGCCAATTATCGAGCCTCCGAAGGACATCGTGGAGCAACCAAGCCGATCAATGCTCGGGTTCACTGATACGAAACATGATTTTGGTCGAAACTGATCGAAACTGATGCGAAAAAAAATTAGATAACCGGACGAACGGACTTGGACGTGAGGACGACGGAAGCGAAGGATTCATCCATCATCCTGATCTACCAAAGCTTTTAAAATTTAGATTCTTCGTTTCGGGAGTAATCAAAGTGATTTGTGAACATATCGTGGCAACAATTGTCTTCTATCAGATTTACGATAAAGGTGCTTCTCTTGAATTAATTAACGTTAGTTTCAACGACGACGTTTCTTGATTTCTAGAAAGTGTCTGTTAAATTAGGATTCTAGATAATTAAATAGTGAAAGGTTTGCTTTTGGTACCATAAATCCTGACTGTTATTCGCATTTGCGATAGATATAGCTGACAAGGGACCGACTCCAAGTTCGCTGAAAGTGATCTCTTCCTACAAGGTATTATGGAACCAATGTTTACCGATTAACGCAATTTAGAATAAATACGAGTATCGCGTATGAGTTAATCGCGCGATAAGGATGGACAATGAGGATCGTCTGATTGGATGATCCGAATCCAGAACTAGAGAGGAAGGAGCAATTAATTATAGAGAGGTACACGACCGGGGCGACGTACTTTTGCCGAAGGTACTTACAGCCTTCCGTATATGGACACTGCAGTATTATACCGGTCGTGTGTGTGTGTGCATTTTATTTATTCGTACCAAAGCGAGAACACTCGCATTTCCCGTTTACGCGCGTACGTCCCCATGCGATTCATTTGCAAAGGCAGATAAAAATGCAACGGGCTTACAATTAGCTTACCATTAGCGGCAAGTTTTTCGAAATTGGCCGCAGCCGATACCTGACTCCCGCCGAGCCTTACACGCCGAATTAATTAAAATCCAATCGCGAACGCAAGCGAATTTAAATTCTCTCTCTCTCTCTCTCTTTGTGAGGATCGTAGGGTCCATTTTACCAAAAAAAGAATCGCGATTGACTGAATCGTCTTTTTCTCATGTCTACTTTATTATCGCGATTATTGAGAATGGAAGAGAGAAATAGTTTATCGAGATTGACAGGTTGACGTGAGATTCATCGTAACAGATAGAACGGTAAATTTTCTCCGACCAAAACGTGTTACATATTCTGTAGAAATATTTGCGTAAGCTTCTTCCAATATAACATTCTTATTTATTGCAAAATATTTTTCGTACCCTTCCGACTACGGAATCACGGATCACGAGAAAGCATCATGGAAAACATAGCTCGGCTACAGTGTTTATCGTTACATGCTCGATATGACAAATATGACCGTTCGCAACGCGTCGCGAGACCCATGCAACACAAAATTTCGTACACGTGTAAGGATGTTATATATATATAAATATACAAAAGAGAAAAAGATATATATATATATATATATATGTATACGCAAGTACATGTATATGTTTATGAGATTAGATTATATATATATATGTATGGCTGCAAAAGCAAAAGTTACCGTAGTAACGTCGATGTTTAGGGTCACTCGTGGCAAACGGGGGCTGGGCCTCTCGCAAAACGAGTCTGTGACGTGTCTGAGAAATAATAACGATTGCAAGTGCATATATCTGCGAATGCACACACGAAAACACACACACATGCGCGTATTCATACACACATACACATGTACACAAGACAGGTATGTGCATATGCGGTCGCGATTGCATACCCGTGTTTAATGTATGGGCGAACGGTACAGGTAGCTGATGATACTCTGCGGTCGCCCTGTTGTAAGCGTGGTATGGTGGTACGAGGGGTGTGACGCATCGTAAAGAGCGAAATTCTATCTGTGTCAATCTCTCTTTCAACGATGTACCAATGAATATTCCGAAAATAAAGTTTAATCGTTTTCAAGATCGTCTAAGTTAGCCCCGGCGTCGAGCGGCCATTTAATAAATTCGTTTTCGTACGTGTGTCGCCTCGCTAATCAGAGCCGGAAGGATCGCCTTATCAGCCGGATGCACGCCTTACGTAAGTGAAAAAAATTGCAAATGTATAAAAGTAGAAAAAAATCTTTGGCACGTGAGAGCGGCTGATGCTACGTGACTCTCAAAACACGGCATTCGCGAATATCCAATCGAGGTAAGAGTTCACACGAGTATATATCCCCGGATATCCAGGGTCACCGCAGCGAATCCCCCAAGATACTATCCCGATGTTGACCCACCTGCCGTTGGCGAGTTGATGCAGCAACGGACCGCCCGAGTCACCCTGAAAGAAGAAACGGCTCGTTCGACCAGGTAATGCAATTAAATTAGGTCCGTCCTTCTCTCGACAGTTCCTCAGGCTGTCTTAAATTATTAACAGTTTCAACTAGGAAGACGGCGTTCATTAAAGATGAAGTCTTCCTGGCTAGTCCACGCGCACTTAACATTTCATCACATCGTCGCGACGTCACATCGAGCTCGGAATGAATAAATTATTGTCTCACCTGACAGGCGTCGCGGCCCCCTTGATAAGCGCCGGCGCACAGAGTAGTATTCGGGATCAGTTGCGTGAAGCTGCGAACGCATCTTTCTTGAGGCCACACCGGCACCGTGGCTTCCAACAGCACTGTACTAGTAGGTCCTCCATAGTATTGCGTGCCCCAACCTAAAAATGTTCACGACTTTTAGAGAACAGCTCGCATCTTTTTACTTCCTTCGCGTATCTCGCCGTTTAGCAGGTAAGTCAGAGAAATTAATTTTTTCATGATAAGTTTACACTTACTATTTAAAAAAATTTTTTTAGCGGTAGCAATGACAATAAATCAATCATTTAATCATTTTTATGGCAGTTAAAAAAATAATCTATCATACTATTTGTGTATAAATGACAAGCTTGAATGGAAAAGTTAACATTTGCTATTAATTTTTAGGGATGTATTTAAAATATGATATATATATATATGAGATTTATTTGTACTAACCGGTAACGATGGCGATTTTATTTTCGAACGTTTGTTGAACGGGTGGAAGGCAAATGGGCCAGATGTAGGTGTTAAACACGGTAGGCCGATGAATTTTAATAATAGCGATGTCGTGCTCGTAGGTGTTCAATTTAAAATCCCTGTGTATCCGTATCTCCGACACCATGAAATCCAACGCCCGCGTCTCCTCGGACGTGGTAAAATCGTACTCGCCGAGTCTCACCGTAATGTCACGTGGTTTGTACCTGTAAAAATACGACGGCGGAAACGCGCGGGATAACTGTAACTCATTCCCATAGTCTAACTGTTCATTTCGTGGTTACAACAAACGGACAAAGCGAGCGTGTATATCGCGCGTTAGAGCCTCTGAACGAAGATACGAAGAAATGTGTGCCGGCGCGCCGAAAACATTATAAATTCAACCACGACCGCAGGAATATGAATGTATTGCGTCTGAAATGCCGTTCACATCATCGTAACCTTTGCTCGTAAACTTTGAAGTATGAGCACGTACACATGTGTTCCGAAGTGAATATCATATGCATATGTTTCTTTCTTTATTGTGTAACCACTTGTCGCAATTCTTCTTTTTTAATGCAGCCGCGATTTTTTGAACTATTTTAAACTTTACATTGAAACAAGGTACGATAACGTGAAGTTCTGTTGATCTACATATATGGAAAAATTACATGGAGATAATAAAGAATTTTTATTTAATATCTTGTATAGTAACAAAATAGTTTGAAACTATTAAGCTTAATACGAAGGTATTAAGAACTTGTTTTGTCTTTACAAGGGTCATTCTTCATACTTAAATATTCATTAAAAACTTTAACGAACATCACAGAAGAATAGAGCTGATAGATAGTTACTTGATGGTTTACCTGTAAACGCAGTGTGCGGCGGTGAGCACGTGTCTATCAGTGATCAATACACCCCCGCAATACTGAATCGCGCCTTGTCTGAGAAGAGCCGCCATCCACGGCCATTCTTTAGGGTCAGCCGGTTGGCCACCCGCGACTCTGGTCTTCGTTCTCCCGGTTGTACCGCACCCTCTGGGTCTTCGTGATTCCCTCGTCTCTTGCTTGGCCGACATCGCATCCTTCCCCAAATTCGTATCGCCGTGCACTGTCTCGTTGGCAGATGGTTTGTTCTCGTCCTCGTTCCCGCGGGTTTCGTCCCATTCTTCCTCGTCGTTGTCGAGACCTGCGAGAGAAGAATTGGAACACATACACGTGGCACTCTCGTTCGCTAAGCGGACACTTGATACCGCGAGTACCGTGAGTACCGCGAGAAACATCGGTACTTGTCATGAAAGCGCACGTGTATAGCATTTTCATCAAGATGCGTCAAGTTAGCTGATAAAAACGTTTATGCGCATATTTATTACAAATTTTGCATAAATATATAAAAATATATATCTTACAATTATGACGGTTTATTTAATTAAAAAAAATTATTTTTTAATCGTTACTATCATGTGAAAATAATCTTGTGATATGTAAATAATTTAACTAAATAATATAATTAAACAAAGTTATATTAATCTCAAATAAATAATTAAAATTTATACAAACTCGCTATCGCCGGTAACTTGCTGGCTAAATCATCGTGGAATGTCCTTTTCGATCGAGCTGTCATGCTATCCGGACAGCACACACCGACGTACCTGCGACAAAGAAAACATTAATAATAGAAACAATTGATGCATGAAAACATAATGTGTGAGCTTACTTCTCCTCAATTATGCATATATAACCCATAAATTGCGGAAAGTACGAGCGGGATTGATCAAAAACCGCCAAAGGGCATCCAGTGAAAAACTTGCAGTGGCCGCTTCGATTTCCCGGCGCGATGCAAGATTGATATGCTTTCTAGAAAAAAAAAATAAATTCCTATTATAGCATTCTTATTTTAAGTACCGTCCAAATCTATAGAGAATGTGATAAGTTTACGATAACGCACCTTCGGGGATAAAATCGTAAGTTTTTGATCGACAAGCCGTTTGTAGCGAAGGTACGAATGGGAAATGTCTTCCGGAAATCGAAGCAGTTCCGCATGAAGACGTGCCTGCCATTCCTGATTCCCAACCATCGACGAATCTAAGAAATATGGGACGTCCCACATGCATCGGTGAACACGATGCATGTGCGCGTTTCCGTGTGCGTGTGCGTGTGCGTGAACACATGTATAACGTGTATCGAAATTTAGAGAGGACCATTGAAAGATAGAACGTCTGGATGATACATTATCGTAATATGATTTGACTATTTCCGTTGAAAGAATACGCCTTTTCGAAGACTTGCGAAACATAAAAATACGTTTCAATCTGCTTTTACAACTCTTGATTTATAACGCGCCTCGATGCGTTTGCATTTAATGTATACGTTGAAAAATATTGCGGTCAAGAAAAGCGCGCATTCTCATGTAATATGACACAAACTCTATGAATATCTATCAAAAGTAGTCTGATTGTGTCATAGTTTATAAAACAGATCGCGTGGACATGTCGGACGTATGATCTGAATCATCATATAGAAATATATTTTCCTATTTTATCAAAAATGTAATAATTTATCCTGAACTAAACCAAACATAAAAATAAATATTTTTTTTATCGATTTGCACTGTTATTACTTATTTCGTAGGAAACACAATCAAGTTAGTTCAAAGTTCAAATTTAAATTTGAAAATAACAAGTTAAATTTAATTATAGTAAAGTAAGTAATTTTTTTTCGCAGTGCATATTTATAACGTAAAAATCTAAGATTATTTAATATAAAACAATGCTTACCCGTGGTGTTTTGAAAATCAACGGGGAGACATCGGCAGCATTGAAGGATGCACAATAAAAAGAATAACACAATTTGATAGATACTAATGCGCGTCATTTTAATTAACATATATCGGCGCACCGACTCTCGTTATGTGACAAGTCACGGCAACGTAACGGCGGCTTTTTAGTCGACAACCAGGGAACAGACAATGACTCCGAAATATGGAAAACCGTCACTTATATACACATACACGCCTGTACTATACGGAACCACGCAAACGCTCTTTCAAGCTGGATATCTACCATTAGGCGCTCGCGTGACGCGCAAGTTTCTTACGTGCATAAGTATAAGAACAATTTAATGAAAAATGTTGATACATTAATTATTATTATATTTTTACTGCTACCACTTGAGTAGCTATAGTTAAGTATTTTGTACTGCATTAATATATACGGAAAAATAATTTCTTATTTGAGAAATGAAATAGAACATATACAAGAAAAATATTTTAAATAATTTGCAAGTTTCAATAAAAAATGCTTGCTGTAACTTGAACAATGTATATTTCTTTAAAATTGTTTGCTATTGTTGAGCGATATCTCACGTCTAATTGAACTTGTGCCGCGTCAGATTATTGTAGTACAAAAGTACTTCATGCATGCTGCATTGTGCCAATTCAACGCGGCAATTCGACATCGCTTCTCCAGTCTCCGATCATTCAATGAACCTATTAACGCCGCATAATTGACGCAAAGGCTAAGGCCGCGAATCAGGAGTCACTTCGTGGAAGTGGAGAAGCGAGGCGGGAGAATTACGCGCGACCTGTCTGGACAAAGGTTAATTCATGCGAATACTCGGCGGCGCATACGCTTGTCAAAGCGAGAAGTAATGGACGGCCGATAACTTGAGAAATATTCGATTCCGTTCGAGTCCGTTTCATTAAACCGCTTGACGCCGCAGACTCCGCGACGCGACGGAATCTCGCCGCTGCTGGTCCGGGAGCTGGAGAAGGATAGCGGGACCACGCGAGAGTCCATCCCGTGAGAAGAGCGGAGAGGAGCGGAAACGTGGCCGAGGATGGACGAGGGGAGTCGCGGGCGAGAATGAAAGGAACGAGGCTCTCTCTTTACCCGACAGACAAATCCCGCGGTCTCCGTCTCTAAATGCGATACTCGAGAAAACGGACATCACCCACATACCTGTCCAGGCCATTGGCATCGCCGTGCCACGCGGCGTACGCACGCACGCACGCACGCACGTACGTATCGACGTACGAGAGTATAGTACATACATACACACATAAACGTCGCGTGAGAAGCGAACGATTTGTGTACCTTGGAGTATTTATAGGCGAACAGTTAGACGTATCAACACTATTTAACATTTAGATAAAATTATTTTCGTGTCACGAATTCAGCGGTAAATGTAGTTCTGATTCTTATCTGCTTGTATTGTGCTTCTACCACGCACATCATACGCTCTTGTATTACTTAGATATAAATAAAATTTAGATGTGTCCTCTGTTTAATGGAGCATTCTAAAGATAGATACGGAGCACTTTAAAGATTCTTAACCGATATCCATAACATTTCGCCGAAGGGGACACGATTCAGTTGCGAGTGAGAGAAACGCGCTTCTCAGCATTTTACGCATGTCGGCTATCTATTTATGCACGCGTCATTGATCGCTCCGAATGAAACGTAACTCGAAGTTGACTGTGCCAATAACGGGTCATGCTCGTTCTTTCCTTTTTCTTTTTTCGGATTAAGATCCGCGAATCTCTTACTCAACGAAATAAAACGCATATAAAAAGCAATTTGAGAGCCAAGCTAGAGTCAGAATTAGACGTTGAAAAATTTAATTACTGTAGTCTGTGTAAAATTTAATTATTCTCTCTACTCTAAAGAAAAAGTAGAATTAGATTTATCTGCATTATAGCCAGCGACAAATTAACGACATAAAACTCGGACGAGGCATTTCGTCCGCGAATGAGGGAAAAAATGTAATTAAATTCGTAATTCTCTCAGAGAAATGTCCGCATTTCGCAGTTGAATGATAAAGCGTCTAATAATACAGTTCTTTAACGTTTGAAATGTGCGTTCTCCGTGTTCATTGTATGTTCAGCCGTACAAAAGAATAAGTATACACATCGAGTCCTCAAGTCTCCAAGTCTTTCCGGGTGTTTAACGCATTGTGTGCGTTTAACAGTAAATCCATCATTTGCGTCCCAGAATTCGTCTTTGGGCGCTGCACCAAAAAGGACGTTGTTGCTCGAATATGATCCTTTGTGAGAGAAATAAAATACCGGGTTTCACGAGATATCACGTAAGGTTCGCGTGCAAGCAAAATTGACTCGCCACAAAATGACTTTACGATGGAAAGGAGAACAGCGCGAGTTTTTCAGAACGTTCCTTATGCGAACGTACACGAAACTGAATACGTTTTTAGAGGAATGTGCGTTTGCGAAATTATAAAGAATTGAAAAAAAAAAAAGAAGGAAACGAGAATTTACACGAACGTTGAATTTACGCGTCGATAAGAAATTATCATCATCCGACGCGTTTCACCTCGAGATCTTTCGTACAAGATTGAGGGCGCAACATCTCCGTCCTAAATCCACTTGTGAGTAAGATTAATTTGACGTTGTATCGGCAAGCCTTCGTGCTCACAATTTTGGAAGAAGATGGATGTATTTGCATATAAAGTAATGCTTGTAATATGATTTGTCAAGAAGTTTTAAGATCTGTCTTGCTCGTATTACCTATCGCACGTGCTGTTGTTATTCTCCGATAAAGAAAAACAGTGGTAATGAAAAGATTGAGACAATGATTTACGAGCAAGAAATGACTAAGTCAACTGTGATCGCTCAAATTAAGACAGGTGCCAATGGACATGTGTTTAAAATAACACAGGGAACTTAGCGCGATGACAATCTAATTCCTCGGCGTCACGTATCAACTTTACGACCTTTCTTCAAAGATATTCGATCGTGAGATACGTTGCTTGATAACCGTCGTAAGAAGAAACGAGAGACGCAAAGTGTGCGCGTGTCTCTAGAATGACAGAGAGTGACGGAAGAAAAACGAGAGGGAAAGAGAGACGGAATGAAATCCGGAGAGATCGCGATTTGGGGGCAAAAGCCCGGGGCATTACCATTTAAGGTACCCCGTACATATCCCTTTTCTGCTCCGCGCGTCTCTGGCACGCATAATCACGAGATATATTTTGCACGCTATCTATCCACTAAAAATTGTCTTTTTTATGCGATATATTTTCGACGGGGACTGATAAACATATAAGACTTTGCATAACTTTATCGTTTCATTATGCACCGATTATTCAATTAATATAACATAATACAACATTATTACAGTATTATAGTATTATTATAGTATCTTGAAAATGTTATACTTACATGTCTTACATATAAATGAACTCGTGATTATTTGTCAGGCTGTCGAGAAATAATTACAATTTATATAAAGTGTAGATATCATATTACTTGATAATTGCTACTTTTATATGTACGCGTAATCATATCACACGTTATTTTGTATTTAGGGACCAAATTACTGACGATCGTGAAATACAGTTCATGAATAAAGAGCATACATCCTAAATTTACGAGAAATCAGAAATGGTCTATATCTTCGTTAACACGAAAGATAGCAGGGAGTCTTCCTAGGAATCGCCGCACGCATTCGGAGATTAAAGGGCAGAATGGAAGATGGAATAATAAACGAGAAAGGAAAGCACGCGCTAACGAGATTTGGGTTTCTACCTGTCACGTTCTTTCAATTTTAATGGTAACTAAAGCTGAACTAAAAGCGGCGGCTAACAAGGCGTGAGATCATTCTAAGTTGTCTAAAAAGAAACGCTGTCACGCGTTCTGAAACGATAATCGTTTGCGATTATGATTGCTGCCTATGATTGCTGCCTAACTTTAATTAAAAAACGTCCTGCGTTGCAACAAAAATTGCTGCAAAAAAATTTAATACAGAAAGATAAACAGTTTACCGTGCTATTTTAATTAAATAGTATAAAGCAGAAAATTTATTCAAAGAAAATTAATTTTTATAATACTTTTACACTAGCTTTAAGAAGATCTATTACGGATAATAAAAAATGCAATTAGAACTACGTACCAGAGGGCGGCAGAGGGTGAATATATTTCGTACACAATAAACCCAAGAAAAATTAATTATGCAAAAAAATGATTGCTCTTCTTTATCCTAATCTTACGCCTTCGAATCGAAGACTCGAATCGTAAATGACTTTCGGCAAACTCGTTTATAGCCGTGGATTATTTTCGTACATAGACTTCACCTGCGGTAGTTTATAAAAAGAACGGTGCGAGGTGAATACACTGCAACTATGAAATGTCGCTTAAATATAGAATGTCCCCCGAAAATGAGAGGTCATAAAGAAATAAAGTCATAAAATCGCCCGGCGAATGTTCTACTACCTTGGAAGTTTATAGCTTCATTGTGCCATCGTAGATAAGGAAATATCTAGTAGAAAGTGACGACGCCCTCGAGAGAGATTATCGCTCGCCAGAAAAAAGAAAATAATGTGCCTTCCCGCACAGATCCATCCATTTCCGCGTAGGATATTGCACGAATTTCTCCTACGTTATTTTCGCCTTCCGATGTTCGGATATGCCGTGGTTTACCATTTTAAGATCTTTTTACGCTTTAGAAAGTTCTATATTTTACATTCACCCCGGAATTAAATGTGCCAGAATGCACGACTTGAAATGTATAATACTAGATTTAATTCTCCTGTTGCAAGAAAAATTGTAGAAAGGATCTTTCTCTATAATCTGAAGTTATTTTACTACGCGATTAGCAGCAAAGCGCGGTCGACTAATCCACATAATATTACCTCTTTTTCTGATAGCCGACGACAATCTTGAACTATAAAAATTGTAGATAACAATTATAAATATATAATGGCGCTTTAATTAATTTTAATTTTGAAGTTTTTTATATATTAAAGCTACATATAAGATGAATAAATCTTTTTATTGCTTTCTAAGTTAAAGATCAAGCTCGTACGCCCGTGGCAGCACGTTTATTGCTACTTAATGACCAAAACCATCTTAGTCACGCTTTGGAACGGTAAACGAAACGGCCGCACACAAGCGGCCGCGGGCGAATCGGGAAAGTGTGATTGAAGTTGACCAGGGAGGGCAGAGGAACCGCTGCCTCGTAAACTAACGAGACGTCGAAGCGATAATGCCAACCATAATTCGCGACGAGTTACGAACGGCCGCGTCGTGTCGCGTAGTCGTGCGCTTCGAGATGGCATAATTGGTATATAAAGTAGAAATTAAGTTGGTAGCCCCTCGATGTGAGTGAAACTCCATGGACCCGCGAGAGAATCGTTCGAGAGACTTCGTTCGACTGGCGGCAACCGCATTCGGTTATTACCTTGTATTTTCGTCGGTGCACGCATGTGTTTTCCGTGGATGGTGTTTAAATTACTTTAAAGGAGCGCACGGTGATAAAATCGCGAAAAATATGACCGAGCGTGTCCGATAATAGCGACGGCGTTAATAAGCGCCGGGAGAAATATCGGTGGCGACATTATCAAACGTATATGTCGCGGCCGATAAACCCGAGCAGATTCACAATAAACAACACTTGTACGAGAAATCGTTCTATCTTTTATGGACAAACGAGTGTAAGATTTCGTTAAATTTTTAATTTTTTAAGCATTACCCAAGAAGGCGATATGATTCCGATAAATAAATATTTTGACATCTCATCGAGGTATGAAAGTTGGAATCATAAAAATGTGATATTCGCGTTTATTATTTGATACGACATATCATATCTGCAGCACTGGAAATCGAAATTCGCTCGAAGTTCTGTCTTCTTTCAATCTCCCCGAGTTCATCCAATCTTCTCAGTTCTCCTCGAAATCCACTCGCGCGTGATCCGAAAAGCTCAATGCGGATGAAAGGGAACGAAAGGGAGAGAAAGAAGGGGAAGAGAGAGACGAAGAGGAGCGCCGAGGTTGCACCCTCGTAAAGTAACGAAACGTCGAAGTGGCACCGCGCTGCATAATTTCTGATGAGTTACGAGGCACGCGCCCATACCGCGGTTCGTAGCTCGTTGCAATCGGCATATAAAGTAGAAATTAATATGATGACGGTGAAATTTTCTAAAAGAATTCGCATCCGGACCGAAGATACGAAGAAAGGGGGGCGACCGCGCGCGTTGTTATTACCTCTTAGGCCGGATCACCTTGCACTCGCGTAACGGCAAATACGGCGCGTGTGTGCGTACGAGTGGGAAAGGGAGGAGACACACATAAATATCCTTACCGTATCTCCGTAGTAATTAGCGCCGCTATCGCGGCATTTCGACGTAAAAAGTCTCGTGGAATAAAGACGTCGACCGGGTCATTATCGCACACGTCGCGTAATCGTAGGGAGAGGTAATGTTCAAGTCACAACGTAAGTAGAAGGTTATTCTTGTCAGTAAATAGATCACTTTGCTATATTGAGTTCCTGCGTGACTCCGTCATGCAACGCAATTTATAAGATTGTATTCAAGCGATGCTATTTTATCAAATTATATATATCTGCAATTACGCGTTAAATATTGAGATAAAAATAGAAATAATACGTATACATAGGTATTAAGCTAAAAATATTTTCTCGTATCATATTTCTGGGTGGATATTAGAATGAAAAAGTTTTTATTGAATCCATTACACAAAGTAGCGTGTATATTTTATTGTCATTTCAAAAAGACATAAACAAAGCGACGGCAATTTTTACGGCGTCCATATCGACGATGGAATCCATATTTCAAACGCCACTGTTCCAGGAAACTCTTTTCCTATGCAAGAGAAAAAGATATTCTCTCTTGAATTGCATACCTGTTCAGAATTCCGATGCTTGCTCCTTCTCCCGTCTCGACGCTTCCGCTACCGCGCATCGGGTGGACCTCTCCTGCATCCTTCCGACGATTACCATCTGTAACGACGCATTTCGGGATCCCCGTGTCAGCGGTCCTGACAAATTAGCGTCTCTAACGAGACATTCCCGTCGTAGAGATCTCATCTCGCCGAGCTTCCCGTTCCGCAAGAGTCATGCATTTTAATGACTTGCCGCGAAAAATCTCAACTTTACGAATGAGTTATAAAAAAGGCAGTACGAAGTCACGCCGCTTGTATTTCGCGAGCTTGACTATATTCGAGGAATGGTTTTCTGCGCCTCGCGATTCCCATTTTATTCGCTCGCCGGCTATTCGAGAGCATTCAGTTCGATTGAGAAAATAGATGCTCCGCTTTGGAAAACGCGCGTCTCGCTCGCAGCAAGCACACGTATCGCCGATGTGCAAGGCAAAAGAATAATTACTGTGCATCGCTCGAGGATACGCGTCCAAATCGTCCAATCGTTCGGGAGAAAATTATTCGAACGCACCATCGATTGGGTACAATGCTGATTGCACAATTTATCATTTATTTAGATCTCTAGAGACTGCATGTTAATCATTAAAAATAGAAGAAAAATTGAATTGATATTTTGAAATAGCATTTCAATTTTTTATAGAAAGTAAATAAATTTTTACAAGATTGTATATGCCAGAAGATCTCTTATTTCAGAAATGTTTAACATAAAATAGCTTTATATTCCTCTAAAGAAAAAAATGTAAAAATAGAAACAGTTGCATCACGTCAAAATTTCTACTTTATATCTGTATATTATTATATAATATTTTTATTTTTAAATCTGCAAGTTTTTATTCTAATTTATTTATCAGTTTATTTTGTCACGGCTATTTTTTTCGGTTTGCTTTAAAAAAAATGCCACAAAGAGGTCGATTAAATATGTACATCTCTATTAATGCACATTTACGGTTTCACTCAAGTTTTTATAGTACTATAGAGTAATAAAATTTCAAGGGCTAAAACTGATAGCCCTACAGTCCTTACCAGTTTACGCCCACGTGTTTCGTGATCGTGGTCACGCGTAGACAATGATCCCACATCCATTAAAAAAAAAAAAAGACCGAAAACCGACCGATCTCGCACGCACCGAAACTCACGTGGGAGTATCCCTTTCCGAAGCGCGTAGGGAGTCTCGTATTACGTATCCTTTTGTATGCGTATGTAAATCTATCGGCAACGGCGTAGAGACGAATGATGAAAGGGAAGAAAGTACGTATCGTCTCGAAAGTTCGCATTCGACGCACGATAAAACGCTGCCACTTTCGTTTTTATTCATGTGTTCGAATAATCCAATGTTTACGAAGAAAACGTCTCTTCAGAGTATACATTTCTGCTCGCTATTCTTCATAATTTTGTTTTTAATTTTTGCAATTTCCTGCTTTTAATTTTTCGCAATTCATAATATATATATATATTTTTGTTTACCTATAAGAAAATGAATTCAGCGCTAAATCCATTTACATGAAAACAAAGTCGTGAAAATTGCGTCGTAACTTACTTTATGGTGTTACTTTATAGAAAAACATGAAGGGGAATAATTCGGCGTTTTTCCAGCCTTTAGTGACGTTTACGAGTACATTATAAAATTCTATAAATATGTTAATAAGTGCTGCAGTTATATGCCGAAAGCATTTCTCGCCAGGTGACTGTAAAAATATCAAAAACATAAATATAATATAAGTATACAATTTTACACATTTTCACTGATAATGGCATTTATAAATATAATTACGCGTTGGGTAACGACATTTTTATTGTTGGATACAGCTTCGACGCCATTGCGCGAAAAATATATATATGTATGTCGCGTTTGTTTCGCATACGTGTAAATATTCTGTATGTGCGTCGAAACGCGAACGGTACTCCACCCATATCCTCCCCTGAAAATTTCGTAGTCGTATATCGTAACAAATGATTCTTTATTGGTCAAACCTCTTTCGCGTGCAAATTTATTCCCATTTTTTTATTCATCGCTTTTCTTTGCCTTGCTCAATTGAAACTCGTGTTTCTATTATGATTAAATGATAGGTTTTCTGTCTGTATATTAAAAAAAATACATGACGCGATTCCGTCCTTTAACACTTGCAACTCTTTCATAAAAATGCGTGAAAATATTCAGTCATTTACGTTAACTGTCGTTAATAGCCTTAGTAAACATTCTTTTTCAGCATAAAACGCTGAGTAGACATTAAAAAGAACATAAATTTATGTCGTCGTTTTACATGATAATTATAACTTTTAAACAAAATTAATATTGCGTTTATTTGAAAAAAAAGTAAAAAAAACTAATGTGCTAAAATCAGATTTATTAAGTAGCAAATAATCAGTTTTACCAACAATGAATAGTACATAAAAACATTGGTAAGAGTTTTTATCGAGCGTTTTAATCGAGAAGGGCTTTATTCGCAATGTAGCCAAAGTACACAAGTGGGAGAATTCTTTGTCACAACGAGTGGTTATTCAGCTGAACATACATAGTAGGAAACCACAATGAACGGATATCGATATTGATACCGCAAAGTCGATAATGCCAGTGCATATTTTAATTGAAATTTGTTATTTCAAATTTCCTCTTACAGAATTATAATAAAAAATTAGCCGTATTCGCGTTTCGTCGATTTGCGTAACTCGATAATGGTGTGACTTTCCCCACCGCATAACTCACGATTTTACTGTCGCATTTTACGATCAGTTTACGTCCTCTCTGCATGACAGATAACGATATTCCGCGAAGCGTACAAACTACACGCTTATCAACGTTTTTCGACGTATCTTCTTAAGAGAATAGATGAGAAAAACAAATTTTTCTGACATTGCCATCGAATTCTAACGAACAAAAATTCAATAATATTCTGCGATTATCGTGATTCATAATTTCTCTCGTTATTTATTTTGTTGTCGAAAGCTTTACAGTTGTAGCTTTATCTTCTTTTTTTCTAATCAATTATGAACTTATCTTAATTCCTTTATATAAGGTTTAAGCAATGCAAATTATATACTATAATATAGAACATAAAAACGAGAATGTATCGTTTTTACTTTTCGTCTGTGATGATTTCGGGTATGGCACCTGGAGTGGTGAGGTTCAGCTTCCAGCGAATCTTATCGGTGGCATTAGTTCTTGGATTGAAAGAAACCTCGTTGTGATAAAGATATTTCCCATCGTTTTCTTCCTCAATCCGACGCACGTACGGTTCTCCATCTGGCGTATGACCGGACTCGATCGTTTGTGACTTACCATTTACATAGCTGTATCTTGTGATTTTGCCGCCATTTGTTATTACACTTCCACTTGTTATTATACGTCCTTGTGCATCTGCGAACAAATTTTATTGTGAGCTAATTTTTCTTACTATTTATGTAACATTAATTATGCGATAACCTGATGCTTGTCACGCAATGTTTACGTAATAATTAATGATAGATCAAATAAGACTGCAATAACTGTTATCAATACGTGTCATCAATAGTTATTTGTGTAACAAGTGCTGTAAGATGGAAATTGGACTTGCGGAGTGGACGCACAAGCCGGAGGCGAGTGCGATCACCCGCACGTCCAATTTTCAACTTAACACACGTGTTACACACCCTATTTTATATTACAAGTGCGTGGAAAGTGGCCCATTACGCGCGTGTCACGCGCGTAATGTGCCACTTTTCACGCACGTGTGATGTAAAATATGTTTACACGTTCAGGGAGTTCAAAACTCTTAAAACTGATGTTGAATTGTCATCGTTACGCGAAATAGAACATCATTTTTTAATCTTTTAATTTCGGAAATTACTTTAATGTGATCAAATTTGGAAAAAACTTGATATTTTATTTACAAGCAGACATTATTTTAAACAAACTATAATCTAGTTAATCGTCAACGATAATGTAATATCACAATAGAATTTTGTTCGATCCAGCAAGTGCAGCTCTATGACATCCTATTAAATTCTTGATTAATTGCTTTTAAATTACAATGTCATAGATGTTTGATTCCAAGCGGGTATTACGGCGATTAAATTTTTATCGATACTAATCGCCAATAACACTATTCGATTCGATACGCTCGTGGATATAGCTACGTGCTAATTGCATAGGTAAACGTTCCGCGCGGAATTAAACGTCGATAACGAATTAACGGACCGATTGAATGCAAAAGGGATAATCGGCCGTTTTGAGACTTAGCAGAGAATGCTGAGTGTCTGCTTCTCGTATCACGGCCGATAGTGAAAGGAACGTCGACTGCGTCGCGAACGAGATGCGATTTTGGAATCTCCGTCTCTCTATCTTTCGCAACGATAAAGAATATCGTTATTATGCAAACGTGTCGACCTCTCTCTTCCGCGTGCGATAGGAAAGAGACTGCGTTTTTACATATTACATTAAGATATTGATGCTCCGGCATTTTCCAAACAGGAAACGACAGAAAAATAACTGCAATTGGAAATCTTGACTCAGACGTTTAAAAATATATTAGATAAAATAGTGCAAAGTTATCTATTTAATTTCGTGATGCGCTTCAGTGCACACGGATACATCGCTGTGATTTCTATTATATTTTTTAGTTGCATAAACAATGCAAAAATTACTTTTTAAAATTCTTTCAACTTTTGGATTATCTATTGATATCAAATACAGGTAAGTGTGCGTTACGCTATTTTAAATGCGATTTAATTTTTATTACATATCAATGCTTTAGACATGATCCCTATATTAAATAAACAGCCAGTCAACATTATAAAATATTTTACGATCGATTACCTTTCGGTAGGTTTGCAATTGCTTTGTCGACTTCTGCGAGCGCCGGTCGCAATGAATTCTCTATTTGCGAATTCACATGTTGGGTTAATTCTTGCGTCTGCCGTTGAATATTGCGAGTCATAGCACTGATTTGTTCGTTCAATTCTCTCATCCAATCCGGAGCACTCGCCCCCGGATGAGCACTGCAACATAAAAAATTATGTGAACTATCGGGGATCAATAATTATACACTTCACTTGTTTGCTCGGTCACGTATACGCAATTATGGTAAACTATATGTTCGCATGTATGCAACACGATGATTCATACGCGCCGACCGTGAATACCTAAATGCGCACATGACGACATGACGATATCAGTTATAAATGTGTCCTGTCGCGACACTAAACAGTGTCGCAGCGCATTTAACTTAAAAATACTTTGTCGACTCATAATAAAATTTTAATGGCTAAAGCTGAATCCAGACCAAGCAAACAAACGCACAATTTGCTTCGACAAATGTGTGTCGCGAATACTCGCGGCAATTAAGTTGTTCGTTTGTGTTTGTGCGCGCTTATTCAATCGGTCTGGATTCGCGGCGAGATCTCGATACAGGCACCTGACTCGATTATCGCACCAGCGATTACATAATCGGTATTTAATTTATGTTCACTGTATGTCCAGGAAAAGAAATAATAAGCTATTTCCACTGAGAAAGACTGACCTGGCCAACAATGCAACGAGGATCGCGACGTAGCAGACTTTCGTGGCCATTTTCGTCCGATATTCTCCGGATCTTCGCCGACCGTTAGACAAACGTCAGGCGAGAAAGTAGAGTCGCGCTTTTCTCCGCAACCGTAAGCGCGTAAGGAAAATCCGGTTAGATCACGTCGTACACAAGCGGATATCGCACAAATGTCCGTGCACCGGCGATCAACGATCGGCTATATTGCACCTAGCGCTGCTAACGTTCTGTCGCGCCCCGCCGTTCCTCTACACTTATATATACAGACAGACATTCTCTGGTAACGATGTTATCGCTATGCCGTGGCCATGTACGCGTTTTCATAGGTCGTTCGATAGTCGGGGACCAAGGAAACGTGAAGTTTTTAAAGGAAGGAGAAAATCCCCGTGGAATCATTGGATAACGTCATAAGCGATGTTGCTGATAACAAAAGACGGAGGAAATTAAGAGATAAAAAGTTTCGTTATTATTAGGAAGTCAAAGAAGGAATTTAAAAATCGTGCTTAATCTGTAAAATTTTGTTATATTTCTTTGATTTTTGTCAAGTTCTTAACGTTACATTTTAATATTATATTATACATTATTAACATTATATTTTATTAATATAATATAATCATACAACATGCAGTTTTCTTTTATATGATAGATTACTAATAAGAGTATTAATAGATGCTTTATTAACATAAAATATCTCATAATATATATTTTGCATATTAATATTACATCATATATAATAAGTACGTATCACTATTTTCAAGTTAAGCGACATCATTCTTCCATTAGGGCACAACATGTGACGTTTATTTTTTTTAGAGAATTCTTTAATCGTCCCGATTCCCGATCCGCCGCATCGATCATCGCTCCGATCAGACACGGATGCTAAAAGGATAACGCGAGGTGTCGAGTCGAGATAAATCGTGTGTATCAAATTTCTCCCGAATTTCGCGGCCTTCGGCGACCGCGGTGCGGAAAACAGAGATGCGTCGGTGAGATTTATCACGATGCCCTTTTGGACCACTGTAATTTCTCGAGACGACGGCGTAACTTGACCGCTTGATATATCGAGCTCTCGTTACACTTCTCGCCACACGAGGAATAACTTTTCCACGATGGCAGTCAACGAATCACGCGCGAGCACGTATCTCATGCGTAGGTATTGCACGATTATCTGGCCGTCCAATATGTCATTGTTTCTGTGAGCTTGAATTAAATATTAAAAAAGGTACAAGTGAAAAATGTGTGTAATAAAAATTTGCGGGAATTATTAAATTGTGGAAAAAAAAGCTTTTTTTATTAAGTAAACGTTTTTTCTTTCTATATATTTTTTTGGAAACGAAAATAAATCATAAACATTTAATTGTATAATTCTGTTTTAAATGAAATAATTAAACAATTCAAACTTTTATCGTCAAAAAGAATTAATTTATCGTCAAAAGGAATAATAGCACACTCGATGAAATCAATTTGAAAAATAAAAAGTAAAGAAAGAAAATTAGTCGTGTTATCGTGTATGTGTATTTTATAATACGCTGAATATATTTTGAAAAGTTAACCGACGCATCGACGTCAAATCGACTTCGATTCGACTAATTATTTCGGGGCAGGGTGCGTTTTGTTTACGCAAGCTCGCCGCGTGTTATCATCCGCACAATGAGACTCGAATCGGTAGTATCGGTACCTACTCGGTAGACAACGGTCACTTCGTGGGTCGTAGTGTTATTACCTCTCCGAAACACGGCCGCGACGGGTACTAGGAGAAACCGTGGACACTCATGCACCCACGTACAATTAACAATTCTTAACGCGCGCGCTTGATTAATTGCCGCAATTAGCGTCTCGTAAACGCATCGAAGCGACGGGCTGTTTATCAACGCGCGTGTCTCGCACAATTCAATCATTTGAGATAGAATTCAGAACGGGAGAGGAATTATAAACTATTTATTCCATCGCGCCGTTTGACGAATGGAATAATTATTTCGCCGATTTTAAACGCAATTATTTTCGGATCGAGGGCATAAGAATATAATACACGAGCCGTAAATAACACGCGATGAGTTTCGCGGAATTTGAAATGTTTGAAATGCATGGCGAACGTATGCGATTTGTTATTCAGTTCGCGTAAGCATACGCTGAAGCGGATGTAACATTGCCACTGGGGATGACGCGTTAATTAGTGGTGATTGCGATTTTCGAGTTCGTCCATGACTCTGTATTGCGAAATGTCGCGAGTCACGATTCCCGAGCGGATCGTAGCTTCATGAATTTCTACTCTTTTCGCGTTATTCCTTCGAGATCTGTCGCTATCGGCAAATCTAAGGGCATGTCTGTATGTATACATACATACCAGAGAGAATCAAGGAATAATGTAGCGGATATATAGTGTTCCCTACTCTGATTGGTTCCGCCATTTTCTGACAAACTTCATAAGAATGACAAGGACAGCGCGCTGTTTAGTACGTTAATAAGCGGGGAGCACACACTTTTGCACAACGCATAATGCGTAAGCATAAGAAAATTGATTGGTCTATTTCCTTATGCACATGTGTATGGACCAATCAATTTTCTTATGCTTACACAGTAAAAAATCGTGCGTCCAAATGTTAAAATTTTCTTGTGTTACCAAGATTTGACTATTATTTCAATGGAAAATTAACATACAACAGCTATTTAATTATTTTCGTAACATTTTCATGTGTTATATTAATGTCAACGTGATAACTTAACACTTTATGTATGTCATTTAGAAATTGAATATTATTTTAAGTTTTTTTAACATAATTATTTCAAAAAATCAACACGCCTTAAAGTTATTTTAACATAAACAAAAGTTAAAGTAAATCTTCAAATAATCGTAAACTTTGACATACAAAATAATCAAATTTACTACAATCAAATGTTCAAAACAACATTTCTCTTAAGTTGAAATAACTATCGTTTATTCAAATATGTTATATCGACATTTTTTACAAGTTATTTTTACATTATACTTAAAGTTAAAAGAACAAATATAAATGTAAAATATAGTGTCAATAAATTAACATTTCTAATTTGTCAACAAGTAACACACGATGAATGAGTTATTTTAACTCAAAATTTAGAGTGGACTTTCTGGGACATTTGAAAAATGTTACGATTAACATTTTATTTTTTACTGTGTACGCATTATACGTTATGCAGAAGTGTGTGCTCTCCGCTTAAGCGGGGAGCATACACTTTTGCACAACGCATAATGCGTAAGCATAAGAAAGTTGATTGGTCCATACACATGTGCATAAAGAAATAGACCAATCAGTTTTCTTATGCTTACGTATTATGCGTTATGCAGAAGTGTGTGCTCCCCGTTTTACGTGGAGGTGGAGGGAATGTACTGGTAACGCACACCAAAGCAGAGACCACGTCCGTGTACGCTCGACAGTGCTGGAAAAGGGCGGATTTCCGGTAAATCCGCTTCGCTCTTCCTTGATTCTCTCTGCTCTGGGTATAGCGCTAATCTGTTGCGCCACAAAATAGTCCGTATATACGGGTCCTAAGTTTCTAACCTGACCGTGCCTCTGTATGTCGCCTGATCCCAGCGTCGCGTCGGGCCGCGGTGGTTGGCGCGTGAAGTTGGTCGCGTGATTTTCAAATCCTCTCCGTCCATTTCGTGCGTCGCATTAATTTGCGGGATGTCGTGAGTGTTGAACAGATCACAGTTTGGTACGATCGTACGTTATCATCGCGACGTAAAAATGAAGTAAGTACGCGTTCGATTACCGGGTCGGGAGTGCCGTACACAAAGTGTCGCGAGCGTTGTGCCGTGTATTATACATGTGTCTACATACGTGTGTGCAACGAAGAAACCTTAGAGGAGAAGGAGGCCTTGGGGGGCATCGGGCAACGGCGGAGCAACACTTTGGGTGAGTACCTTACTTATTTATTTATTATTTGTTACGGGATTGGTCGTTTTCTGGGAATTGCATCGTTATTAGATGCTTCCGTGTGAGAAAAGATGTATGAAAAATTCAAATTAATTTACACGTATTTGTATTTTACAGGTTAACGGCTTTTTACAACTCCGCTGCTGCGCATCGGGTTGGTCAGTCGAATCGTGCCTTACTTTAATTTGAGATAAATAGAACTGAAAGAATACACACTAGGTACTTTCCATTTACCGACACAAGTCGACACAAGTCTCGTTCTCTCTTTGTTACTCCTTGAATGCCAAGACTGATAAAACGACGTTTGTGTCGACTTGTGTATCAATACAACGTTTGATAGATCTAGTCACTATTAGTGTCTTGAAATAGATGAGCTAAAAACAGATTAGTACTAATGGATATGTAATCCTGAAACATATTATTCATTCGTCTCATAAAATTCACGTTGCGACTAACGGGAGTGCCACACAAAATATCGCGCGACGATCGTATAAAATTAGTTCGAGCGTAATTAATCGTGCTCCCGCGAGTGAATGCTACAAGGAAACGACAACAGGACAAAAAAGGGGAAGAGGAGGCCTGGGTGGCATCCCGCATCGACAGAGCAGTCAAAGAGTGAGTAATTTGTTACCTATATATACATTTATATATTTTTATATTTTTTGTACAAAATTGATCGGTTCTTAATTAAATATTTAAATCATTTATATCTGAATGATACATGTAAAAAATATAAAGAAGAAAACTTTTCTATATTACGAAATCTAAAGTTAATACTAAAAAAAAAAAATTTTTTTAGAAATTAAATTTTGTATTAAATATCTCATGAAAAAAACAAATAAAAAGTTTAATACGCTCAAGATTATTTTTTGGAATATTAATTATTCCACACTCTGTTATAATTTGGGTCTATTTGTATTTTACAGATCAACGTGGATGAGTTACTGCGTATCCGTACTACAGTGAGCGTTAAATTATCTCTCCGGCATCGGCGGAACAACGATGGGTGAGTGATTCATCATTTATACGTTTTATGCCATTTGGGAAATTAACTGTTTATTCTCGTTTTATTTGGATCGCACGCGTTTTCGTGTTCGGAGAATTTACATAAGAATTAGAGAGGAATATTAAGAAAACGGTTGCGCGAATACTGTTTTCAATTACGTCGTTTATGATTCGAGGTTCACTATCGGTAATTAAAACAGCGATGAAAATAATTATGTAACATGCTTATGTTAAAAATTTATTTAAAATGATATGGAATTGGAATGCGAGGGAGAAAGTCTCTCTGCAATTTTAATGCATATGATTCTCGATATGATTAAATAAAAGCGTGTAAGAGTAACTTTTCTATTAGTAATCAACTTGTCAGCGTCAGCTAATTAATATATAACATACGTCGCACATAAAAGACTAAGAAGCGAAATCAACAACGAAGGTTTCACCTAAACTGCAAAGATCAATGCATAATAGATCGGTGAACGTGAAATTCGATACGAATGGCCAACTCTTATCGCTCTTAACTTGAAAACCGTTGCGATCTCGACATTTTCGTATTAAAAGATTTTCTCCGATTAATCCTCATAGCACGATGTTAAAATATTACACGGTGATTGAACGCATTATCTATATAGTTTATATATGATTACGTCGTTCGGAATCGCAACTTTGCCACGACCCAGTTGTCATGTTCCGATCGATGGGAATAAGAGATCAGTCCTGCGCATCTGCACCGTCGGAATCTGCAATCACCGAGATTATACCGGTTTCAATCCTCCAGCTTGCGTGGCAGGATCGCTACACGAGACGTGTCTCTTTTTTTAATCGTGTCGCACGCTCGCTGCGCCCTAATCGTCCCTAAACGTCGTGGGTCGCACGGGGTAACGAGCTGCACGTCTCGAAGCCGATTAAGATTGAGCGTAAGAGGATCTGACGGAGGCGGTCGTAAGAAAAAGCACGAGCGATTTATTTCGGACGGACGTCAGCTTTTTCGTTCGCCGCGCGTGCGTTTATTTCTTTTTTTCCACCTTATTTCTTCCTTCGAGTCGTAAAGTTGCAATATACTGGATGCTCCAGATTGCTTGTAGGTCCGTCTTCTTTAAAGAGTTAACGTGTCAGGTAATTGAATTCCATCCAATTTTATGTGTTTGCTATAATTATATTGTTTGCGCGTTTATTCGCGATCAAGTGGTAGCTGATAACGCTAAGTGGTAATTGTCCGATAAATAAGTGCGATAATTTCACTCTGTAAAAATAGCTAACAAAAATGAAGGTGAGATACAGTCAGAGATAAATCGTGATTAATGACATAAGAGATAATCTATGGTAACGCGCATATAAAGGAAGTTCCGTCATCGATTCATTGAATTTGTAAAAGTCTTCGATGAGCACATTTAAATAATCACTCTTGAAGAGTGTTGCGCTTGATGTATTCTTTCAATATACTTTTTGCACGTACAATTATTACTCGTTTACTGCATGCACGCGAATAATGCCGCGAGATGATGACTCGCAAAATTGCGGTTCGATCAATCTGCAACGAAATTCGTTCTCACCCTCGCTCGACGTGTAAAACAAATTTTTAAGAAAATTGCTTTCCATGACGGGGACTCTAATCACTTACCTATCCATCACTATCGATATTTTTACTTCGCAGCCTCGTTGTGTGCGGCCCGCATGACTGCGAGCTGCATCATCTTGCCAACACGTGCGCATTCTCATTTCATGCTATTTGCATTACATACTCGTTGAGAAAAAGAACTTTTAACAAACTTTATGAGTATTTTATTCGTAACGTTAAATTAGATGGTTAATATGGAAAAATTTATTCGTGAAAAGATACACCAAAAACTACAAATACACTTAAAACATATGTATTTTTCGTTTGATATATCTGATTATTGGTGATATAAAATAGAAATTGCGAAATGAGAAAGAGATAGTGTCCAGAGTGTAATTTTTATCAAATTGTCTATAAATCTTCTTTTTTATAATTTTCGACCTCAAATCGAGATCTAAAATTAGAGAAAATCGTAACAATGATAAAAAAAACTTTCTCTTTCCCGCTCTTATCTTTTAAAATAAATTCAACGTAAGTATGTTGGGCGTTTTCGAAATTTTGTCGAGCTGGCGAGGCTCAGACGGACCTTTGTTCGGGGATTACGAGTCGGCGCCTCAACAGTGCTGATTCGATTTCACGTTCGGGCTACTTTCGCCGCGGTACCGAAAACGTTGTTATATCGGCTTCCTTTTTTCCACCGTCTTCGTCCTTGCGGACGCGGCCTTCCCTGTAATTATTTCCCTCTCCTCCCCTCGTTGTTTCTCTCTTTTTTTTTCATCGTTTCCCCGACACGAACCCTCGAACGGACACTACCCGCGTCTCGCGGAGGCTAATAGATTCGAGGAATATCTCGCGCCGTGGCTCTTAGCGGATATTAATCTTCATTACAGAGCTGTCTCCGACATGCGCGATATTCCTGAATCGGCCTCGCGATTAATCTAATCACTTTGCAGTACTGCCTAGCTATTACTTTCAATCAAATTTGACTGCATTGTTGTACATTAATATGACACCGCTCTCTGTCTGCATTCAATTACGTCGGCTTCCCAGAATTATTTAAGAATCGCGCGCCGATCGTTTATTAAAGCGATATCTCATACGGTGACTAGTATGCTATCTTCATCCAAGACTTCTCGTTTTCCGATTTTCCGCATCGCCACGCCGCTTTGCTCCTATGTGCGGTAGGCTATTATTGGACTTGGAATTATTACCGGAGCTGGTAGAGTTAGGGATTAGAATCTCAGTGAAATCATCGCCGTCAAGATTATGAGGTGAAATCGTGGTTTGTTGTCAAAAGTCATCAGCAAAGTTTATCTATACGTTGGACCGTCAGCAGCGTGATTTCGTGTTATACGTTCGTCGACGTTCGTTACGTGCCCGTGTCAGGACGGAGTACGGTTTACCGATAAGAGGCCGTAAGGTCATCTCTCACAAGCGAGACGCTTAATACGGGAAGCGCAATAATAACCGCCGGCTTTTCGAGATGTACTGGCACGCAGTGGCACGAAAGAGGACTTGAAGATAATCGCACTTGCAACGTGCTCCATTTCACGTACTAATTGTCCATTCGGTCCCAGCTCTTTATTCACGTCACAGTTACGTAACGGGATCTATGTACATTAAGCGAGTGTAATTAAATAAGAGGTATCAACTCTTAAGAGCATAGCACATTTATATACACGCTATAATCTTCCGTCATATGTACTTTTGCTCGCCATTGTGACGTTTCTGTGAAATATTTTACACGTTACACGTATGATATATTACGTTTTAAAATTTTAAAATAAAAAACATATTACACCACGTTACTTTCCTTTCTGTATTAAGAAATTTTTTAAGTGACGTTCTTTTATGTCATCTTTTATTTTTTGTTGATTTTTCGCGAATTTTTATGAGGCGTTAATTATTAATTATTTATTTGAAAGAAATCAATTATTAAGTTTATTTGAATAATATTGTTTGCATTGAGGTATATGGCAATTTTATTAATTTTGACACTATAGAAACTCACGCGATAAAGCGTTTCTCACGACTATTACCACTTGCAAATTGCAAGCACGATCAACGCGAACAATGACCCGCATTATTTGAATGACACTCGATGAGACATTTAAACCGCTTTGTCCCTCACATCAGCTTTTTATAATTTTGCGGCGCTAATTGTACGCATTGTAAACAAAATCGAAGCTATCTGATCCTCTTACCTTTGATTGTCAAAGCGCAATTTTCTGTCAAGAACCTTTCAAAGCTCGCGTTCTCAGACGCCAAGAATTGGATTACAAGGAAGTCGAACGAGCGAGTTGGGGAGAAAAGGAAATGCATAAAAACGATACTCCCCAATCGATCGCGGGCAGTCGACAATCAACGCGTAGTAGTATTATGCAGATGCAAAAAACGCGTCGCGCTATTATAGAGCCGCAATAAAGCGGTCTAATGTAACCCAGTTTAGTGCTCTATATCAAATTGAATGTATCCGCCGCGGAAATTACGCTGCCTCCCGCGAAGCGCTATATAGACAAGGTTGTCGAATGCCGTTCTGCGCGCAGAGTTTCCTTTGGATCCGAATAATTACGCGCCTGGAAGCTCCTAATTGATTCGTCGCGGAACAAGCTGCGGCACGAAGAAGGCGTATCAGGCGCATCCCACGGGACGTGATTGCAATTTACGCCTGGAGAGAAAGTAGACCAATAGCGCTCAACGTTGCACTTTTCAATCTCGCGGGATTTTAACCGCAAAGTCGTATGTGTACGCGCGTTTTCCCTTCGGATTAAAGTAAGCTATAAAGCACGCTTTTCCTCATATTTTTTGTTAGCCATTAAAAGCTGAGTGACTTTCATAAAAAAAAACACTTTCCATCGCGTACACGTTACTTCGAAGGGTAGAAAAAAAAAGAAAAAATATTTTGAGAAGTTATTTCTATTTTTTTTTCTTAACGTGGGAGGAGTTCATCCCATCCGAATTACAGCATGGTGAACGCTCTTGGCCAGTGCAAATGTATCTGCAAGTCACGCGGTACATTCACACCTCCGTGGCAACGTTTCTCGCGCGAGCTAAAGCCTGGAGTCGCTTCCGACCAGCGGGATAGAGCCGTAAAACCGGGGAAAAAATAACGTAACCACCGACCAAGCACTTGACACCGGGGTTTATACGCATTACTCCCGGTGGAAGTGCCTCGTGCATCTGGTCGAGGCCGGATCGAGGGACGGGCGGTTCGGGGAGAGGGATCTCACGGGGGAAGAGCAGGATGTAGGAGGATGTTGTTGTTGACCCATGGGGCAGGAACAGGTTTCGAATTCGGATTATGCCGACCCGAAACCGCTCCTTCGCACAACACGGCCGTTCTCTTTATGAACGTTCGCCGTACAAGCCGTGCCGAGATGTGTGCGTGCGCGCATCGACCCCCCACGCAATCGTATAGTAAAAGCGTTCCTCCGGCTTCGATTCTCCTTCTTCGTCCTTGAAACCGCCTCTCCCGTCGGTGCCCCTTCCTCCCCCTCTCGAGGTAGCTCACGCGAGAGCGGCTACGTTGAAGTGCCTCCGCAGAGAGAGAGACAGAGAGAGAGAAAAAGAGACAGAGAGATAGAGAGAGAGCCTCTCTCGATAATATATATTCACCTTCGACTTCACCGGAGCGGGAGCAGGTAGCGGGGAACCTAGATCGTAAACGCGTAATCATCCTGTTCTCGAAATAAGACGCATAAGGGCAAGATCCGAGAAGAGGACGAGGAAAGATGTAAGGTGGAAGAGAGAAGTTCTCTCTCTTCTCCTCCTCCTCCCTACTCTCGCGATCGAGTCCAGTTTGAACCGACGACTCAAGTTCGCGGAGGGTTATCGTCCTTGAGGCGAACCTTGGGACGGGACGTACTCCGTCACGGATGACAGGTCCCTTATCCCTTGGTTGCTTATCTTGCTCCTGTTTACCGACGGCAAGAAGCTAGGGCGACGATTTCTTGAGCGCGGAGTCTAACTAAGAAACATAATTTTCCGCGTAACGGATATACGAATGCAGAAATAGAAAAGCTATAATAACATTTTATGTTTTTCGAGAATTTTTGCGGTCCTTAATTTCAATATTTTGAACTCAATAATTTACAACTGCAAAAGGGAGGCAGCTTCTTCTCATTAATGTAACTGTTGTATTTTTATTCCCTATTTAAGTATCTTTTTATTTATTTTTTATTTTTAGACAAAAATATTTTTTTAAATAAATTAAGAATTTTACATAATTTTATTCCGTATATATTGTTTAGCATGTATATTATTATTCTAAGAGCTCTTTACATACAGCTGCATTATGTATGAAATATGTATGAATTCGTGCGCCGAGAGGCACTCACATTTAATTAATTATCCGGCATTTGTCGCATAAGCATATAGTGCATGAGAGACGCATTTCATTTCATTTCATTTGGAATATGCAATCCGTGACTCCAATCGATATTCGCTGCAGGTGTCGCTTTCTAAAATCCACTCAGAGTATTTCGACATTTCTCACGAGACACTTCTGCACGTGCTTTCAGTAGCCCAAACAATACCAAGTATTTAATAACAGTCCATTTCGTAAGGAGCGCGATATTTCTCGGCGGAATAAAAAATATCGAGCGTTACTTTCTACCGCAGTTCCATTGCATATCGCTATTTTCATTATCTTCGATGTTTGAATATCAAGTATATTGGGATAACTGAATCTTGCACATGCAAGAATGTCTTGTATAATCGCGCGAGAAAATCGCATAATCATGATTCTAGTGCGGCGATTGAAGCAAAGCCGCGGACTTCTGCGTAACGAGCAGATGTCAATTCCCAGCGTCGTTAATAAAGCGAGGCTCTCTTAATACGGGCTACGGTACGCGACTACGAGAGCACGCATAGAGGACGAGGAGAGCTGGGTTCTTTAGCCGGTACTCTTGAATCGCGCTTCAAGGGGTCTTTCGTTCTGTTGCTCGACGACGACGACGACGCTACTTCTGCGGCGCGTATACGCACTTCAGGTACACGTCCGTACCCGCGGCGAGTTTCTAACGGTGTCCCACGTATGTACATATTAGAAATTGTTTACGATTATTACGCGCGGGGATCTCCCGCGGTGCAAATGTAACTTCGAGCGATGAGGATTTTTAAACTAATGAAGGACGTGCGACTTGCGTCGCTTCCTCGATCTCTAGAAATCGCATGTCGATAGCATCCCAGTGTCCAACTCATGTCGCAGCTCGTTAATATATTTCCATATAAATGTATAATATAGATTAGATTTATAAATATATGTGTGAAATGTCATATAAATTTTTAATGAAGAAAACTCGAAGAAAGCTGTTTAAGCCTACAATGCGAGAAGTTTATTTTCGTAATGATTTATTCGCGACCATCAATAATTTCCTTCTTTTCTTCTTATGTTAAAATTATATATTTAATTTTTTTAGGGCCATTTTGACCAAACTCCGATTAACTTAATCGTTGATTAGTCCATTGGAATTGATCAATCGCATTTGTCAATTTGTTTAATGAGCAAATGCGATTGGTCATTTCCAATGAACTAATCAACGATTAAGTTAATCGGAGCTTGGTCGAAGTGGCCCTTACATTTTTTTATTTTTATATATTCTGTAGCTTCTATCTTCCTTAGACAGCGGAAATAAGAGATATGATACGTTGTCCCATTGTTTCCCTACAGATTCATTCTAACGCAAATAACAACAATTTTTTTTATTCTTTAATTATCTCGGCTCCCTATCTTTTTTTCTTCTTGTTCTTCTTTCTTGTCTTGACGGATTTTCGACCACTGGAGTCGCGGTCCCACAATTAAAAACGGGAAACCCTATTCCATATTTTAGCTACATACACGAGAACGGTTTTTTTTATTTAATGCATTGTTGATGTTTTAATTAAATATTCGGTTACGTTCTTTGGATTACATCGCTTTCTCTTGCTTTATTTACTTCTCTTCTCTCTTCCCAGAAGAGTTTAACTCCCAGAGCAGCGTTCCGCAAGCGCGTTTCAATCTCGAGTACTTGCCGCCGCGTCGACTGGCGCCAACTTAGCGGCGACTGCGCGTACTTTCAAACTGGCTTCCACCACCGCTCGTCGCCACCCCTGCCGCGCGCGAGAGAAAGAGAGAGAGAGGTGAGGCGACCGACGCAGGCGACGCGTGGAGCCGACGCCGAAGCCGAAGTCGCGTCTCTCGCGTCTCGCGTTCAGTCGGCGTTTAGCTGCCAAGGCTTCGCTCGACGGCGATTCGTTTCGTTTCGTTTCTCTCTGTCGCGTCGCGTCGTGCGATCGTACATAAACAAAATCGCGGGCGCGTCACGTCACGTCGCGTCCCGTCAGTGCGTCCGTCGCGAAAATTCCACTCGATCTCGCTGTCGTGTTTTCTCTCTGTGAATGTCCGGATGCACGTTTCGCAGCGGTGACTTCATGGTGCGACGCGAACATCCACGCGACTCGACACGGGACACTCAATTGTGCATCGAGTACGGGAAATCGGTGGACGCCATGGAGCCGCGGGATTGCTGATTGACCTGATCTCTCTCAGTTTCGGTGAGTGGAACCCCTAATGTCATTTCGTTTCGCAGCGCGCAACCCTTTGATTGCTAGCGCGGCTATTGGCTGCAGGCTGCCTCTTTCTCGTCGTTTTTCTTTTTCTTTTTCTTTTTTCCTTGAGAGAAACAAGCGATTTCGATTAGGTTTAATGAGGCGAAATAATGATGAGGCGTTTCTCCCCATCGCGCACGTGCGATCCGCGACGAGTGTCGGTGCTTCGTGCTCCAATTTCGCGCGCATCCCCCGGGCGGCCATGATTCGTCGTTTGTTTTGGTGAGCCGGACCGACGCGAATTTAGGGATGCGATCGCACGTTGAGAACAAATCTCGAAATTCGAAGTCGCAGCTTTTCTTTTTTGCGCTGTGTATTAAGGACAACGATAGCGATTATCACAGTAGTTAACACCTTTCTTTACGGATAACGTGTTATACTTCACGCAGTCTATATATAATTGATAGTTTTATTCATGAGCGCGAGTCAGATTTACATTGTAAATCAAGCTTGTGATATAATTGGTATTCCAGAGCGACAAATGGTTTTTTGTTGATGTATTAACATTCCTTGAAAATATCGCAAATGCAGATATCAATAACATGATATTAACATTTTTTATATTATTAATATTAATTATATATATGTAATATTTTATATATGGTATACAATTTATCAATTACGCTACACTACTATTTACTATAAATCGCGCATTCTTGTCACTAACATTAACGTTATAGACATTATTCGGCGCAAGTCTTAATAACGTTATTTATAATGTTGCTTAGCTTTATTAGAATATCATGAATCTCTTTGAAATATTTACGTTTGCAGTGCTTTTATACGCGATTAAATATATTCAACATGCACGAATGTCACGTCGAGAGACGAAAGAGAAAAGAAGTATCGTTCTTGTTTCGTTCGCCGCACGAGGCGTTTGTATTCCTTCGTCAACGCCGTTTCTTGAGTAAACATTCGAGACGAAGGGTAGACCGTTTTTACATACGTCGTATCTTTCATTAGCGCTTTTACATCCTTCGACGCGTCGTCGCGCACATCTCGCGCGGGAGATTCTCCGTCGTGTACCGGGTGCCCGCGTCGTTACGCGATACCGCGAGAAATCAAATGGCAGTGACGATTCTGGCATTTAACGATCCAGTTAGTCCGATTCTCTCCTTCTTTCGATCACTTTGTTTATGCCGGCGTATTAGAGTCGCCCGTTCTATATGTCTCCTTTTCTCTATCTCCCTCTTTCTTTCTCTCTCATTCCGTTGTCTCTTTCGCTCCAAACGGAGAGTGGTCGCCTCCGGAACGGTACAAATCACGGACGGCGACAGAGGTCGTAATCCCGAGAGCGGGAGAGAAGTCCGAGGAGAAAGAGAGAAAAAGAGAAAGAAAGAAAGGGAGAGGGAACGATATATGTACATATATTTCTCCCTATGCGGTGATTAGCGCGATAGTAATAATTTCGACGCATAGTAAGGCATACTTGATGTTGTGGTCGAACCGCTCTTCATTTCTTACCCGTGCACACGGTGTTTACGAGGCACACGGTATACGAGAATGAGAGGATGCTCGTGCTATCCCTCCCGAGCACGTATTATTCGAGGATCGAGAGGAACTGAATAAATAATATTAACGATATGACATTCTTTCTTTTTTTTAAAAGATGTTCATATCTTGCTCGTTATCGGTAATGTGTAATGTGTCAAGGAGGTGTACGGATAAGAAGTTACGTCACTAAAGTTGAATTGTTCCTGAGATAAATTCTTCATTGTAGTAAATTTAATAGTAGGAGGATAGATGATTCATAAGAACATCATATATGCTACTACGATGGTCAATTAAACTTTCGAGTGGGTAATGGGTAATGGGATTTAAAATATTTTCGAGCTATTTCGAAATGTCAATTATAAATACGTATTATTGACTTGTTTCTCACCCATTGATTTTACTCATTATTATATTATTTAATTATTAATTCTCTTTATAAAAATATTCTATTTTTAAATCGATAAGATTTAATTTTATCGCCATCAAACTTCGACGAATATTTATCGAGACTAATGTTTGTATTATTAAAGTGAGCCACTTTGGAAATATAATACTTACTGATGCATATCGATAGATTTTATCAATTTCTCGTATCTATTTTTAAAAGAAAATCAGAGATTACAACTCTCTGTTTTTCCCTGCTTAATACATGTTTATTACTCGAATCCAGTCTAAGGCTATACATAATTTTAATAATATGCATTGTCGGTATTGGTATTAAAATTCTTTGAAGCGTTTAAAAATTTATGATCTATGAAAAGACGCGGCCATAAATATTGTTAAGTATGAATAATATTGCTCGTTAGACATATACACACTGGCTTTATTTTCCGCCAATTGTTATTAATAGAATTTCGCTAATATATGATGTACAAGCGTTGATCGATCGATACGAGGAAATCGCGCGCGTCGTTCCCGAAGACGTAACCACTTCGCTTTTGTACGACCTATAAAAATTTATATAAAACTGTCCCGGGCGCAGCACGACTCGTCGTGAGGACATGAATAATTTATCGAAGCGTTTCCCCTACGTTTCGTGCCTCCCGAGAAGAATAGAAAGAGAGAAAGAGAAAACGTTGCGCCGTTTACGATCAGAGGCCTGGATTTTTGGTTCCCTCGGTTCGGCCCTTCATGCCGTTGAGTAACAATAACAGACGCGAATTCACGCGATCGTTAAATGATGTCACGGATTATAAAACGTATATCGTAATCAACGCACGTGCAACAGACAATTTGCATTCCGCAAAACAAACGTAATAAACTCGAGATTGTCAGTTGTAAAATCGTAAGCAAATATCTCACTAAATAAAGAACAGAGGCGCGCGAGTTGCATCTCTTGCATCATAAGAATATTTAACACATTTAACATACGATCAAAAACGTATTAATCATATTTAAGATATTTCGTGTGTCACTATATCACGATGTCAATTATTGAAAAAGAGTGAAATGATGTAATCGATTAATTGATTGCAATTAAAATTCGTTTTTCCATATCGTAGGCCTATCAAAGACCTTGCAATTTCGATTTCGCGCGCGCACTTACGTGCCGTTAATCGGAACATTTACGTGTTAATCTTCCAAGTATCTTACGAATGTACACGTCGCGAATGGACACGTGAGGCAGATACAATGTGAAACGGCAGGCCCAACGTGAAAACCGCAGATCGAGATACGCGCGCAATTCGCGTGCAACGTGTTCGGAACACGCTGCACGTCGTGTCGCACTCGGCCTGCATGTTGCGCTGCTTTCGTATACTCCGGCTGTCTAGATGTAATGGCCTGTCCGACTGATGAGTACATGTATAACGGCGTGGCGGCTGCGCGAGATAAAAAAGGGCCGTAATTTATACGATTTGCTTTACACATCCGTTTATTAACGCGCGAGCGTATTTCTCCTCGCGTTGAATTTGAGCGAGGAGCGATTTTTATATGAGCGTTCAAACGTTCGTGAAGACGACAAAGGAGTTCCTTTCCGAATATTGCGGTTAACTGGGGGGACGGAATAGTTATTTTATTTGGGCCGCGAAAGGTAGCCGTGAGAGGTTTTCAGATTTGAGGTTTACGATATAAACACAATACTCGGGTCTCCAGATTGGCAGATCCAGGCAGATATTCATGCAGGTATTCAGGTATCAAGAATACCTGAAATCGTGAATTCACACAATGTTATAATAATAACTGGATATATACCATTACATATATACCATTTATTAGTACTTTTTAATTTCCGATATGGTGAATATTTCATTTCATTTATAATTTATAATCCTTATTTTATTTACATATTCATACGTTTTCTATGTTATATTACATATATACAGTTATTATATTGCATATATTATATACTTATGATACGAACATTATTAAGCAGATTTAGTAGACAGCGCAATCTTAATATAAGTAACTTTACGATGGGATTCGACGATAGTCTCTCCGGACGCGTCGAAGTTCCCATCGATGATGAGCGCGCTAATCGGCCGGCGCACTTATCGCGGAAAAAGTAACGGTACGAGAGCGACGCTCGATGAGAGGAGAGGCCAGGCGTGTCCGAAGTTATCGCCTTGCCGAAGAAAGACTTTCGCAACGTGCCGTTCTCACGACATAAATTAAAATCCGGCACGAGTCGGAGCCTTGCCTGCCTACCGAGTTTTATGGTCGCGAACGCCGTCGATTCTCATGACTCGCGTCGATCCTAATCTCCGTTGGATAGACATTATAGGAGCATTTCGGTATCGTAATAGGATTATACAGAGTATTAAGCCCGAGCACACCGGGGACACTGTCTGCTGAGCATTTTCTGCCCTGTAGCTTTTCCGTCATCTCGACTAAGGCGCTACTTGACCTACATTTACACAAACAGGAAAAGAGTTTTGTTAAAGTTACATCGTGCAACTTATATCTTGTTCCGGATTGTTTCTCTTATTTAATAACCTGATGAGATCTCTAGGTGCATTCTCATTTAAACTCATAATTAAAGACATAATCTTTTTCAAATAGATTCAAAGACATTATTAAAAATGTGTACATTTCTTTATAAACAACTTATAATCAACTTATAATAACTCTGCCGTATTTAAATAGCCCCGATGTTAATTTAAATATGAATATTTTTCATTCACGAGAAATAATGGTTAATGATGTTGATTTTTACAATTTATTATTTTTTTTATATTTTAAAATGTTTTTACCTTCCAAGTTATGTTTTTCTTTAAATTTCGTATCTTGAAATTGCGTGATTAAAATTTCGACTTTAGGATTATATTCTGTGTAGCGGCCCGGCTTAATTCCCGGCCGAGCCTAACTTAGATCGTTGATGCTCGTAATTACTTACCCGCTGCGTTTCCTCGGGGCCGAGGAAAATATCTAGTTTCTCGAAATCCCCGGAGCAGAGCACGGTGAGCTCTTTTCGTGTTCTCTTGCGTAAAGCTTTATCTACCCCGTTCAGATTA